TCGGTATTGCATTAATTCTAGATCTAGATAATTCTCCAAGGTTGATTTTATGTAGTTGCCGATGAACTTATTTCTCTTGACAGATAGGTCATTCACAAAGTAGTTTCTTATTTTCCTTTGTCATTGCAACTGCAACAATGTTCATTGATGGAGGCCAAGTTGACTGACTACCTTGTCTACTTATTATTGCCAGCAACCTAGATAGGTTAGGTTGATAGGAGGATGTATAGTACATTAAAATAAACCTAAGCCACTATCGGGCCTGTTGTGCGCTCCTTTTCATGAAAATAAAATTGTTCACTGAGTATATTATTTTTCAATGTTCAGAAACTCAGTTTCCTGGACGTAATTCCTAACAATTTTCCAATCAGTGTTAGACAGGAATGTTATTTCCGGAATAACATCACTTCCAAGATACTTAGATCAAACTTCGACGAATGCTTGACAGTGGCAAAGAAAGTGCTCCACATGCTCAACATTCGTCTGAATCCGCACGGCAAATTTTGTATAGATATGCTCGTAATCCTGTGTGTCCACTCAGAATACGTACCATCATATTAACTTCAGACTTGGTAATTTTGAGGAGATTTCTCGTCTTGTTCTCATCAGGGTCACCCCATAGGATCTTTGTGGTTCTACCCACCGTTTCACTATTCCAAGAGGCCTTATGGGATTCTCTCACCCATTTCGAGCTCCCTTCCCTTAAAGCTCGACGATTGAAGCCAAAATTCAACTTTATAATGATCTGCCGATGTAGTCAAACTTTAATATTATTATAAAGACAAGTCCTGCGATTCAATCGAAAATCTTAATTATGATGATCTACGATTGTACACGATCGATATTTGATTCATGTCAAAACATAACTCTTTTGAGAAATATGATTGAATCGAAAATTGACTCTTAGAATATACACGACCAAAATTAAAATTATGAAAACCGAATATTCTGTTAAAAATTTAACACCGTTTGCATTCAAAATTTAATTTTATCAATATGTATCTATAATTGAAGCAAAAATTTACCTCAATAACTATTTACGATTAAAGTCAAAAGTGATCTTGATGCAGATCAACTATTGTATCCAAATTGTATTCTATAAAGATCTACTAAAGGGTTCACATTTCTTTCGGGTCTGCGGAAATACTTAGGGTTTAATATAGGAACAAATGAAGGTTTCCAAAACTGCTTTCAGTTTTGCGTTTTCCAAAACTGCTTTCAGTTTTGCTTTGAGATTTGGATCATGTGGACTAAAGTTGAAATTTTGATAAAAACAATCAGGTCAAATTTTAAACGTTTATGGGCAACATATTCGGACAAACGTGAAGGTCAAAATTTTTACACTAAAATATTCTCCATAAAGATACCTTTCAGAAAAATCTGATAGAAAAAAATATGCACATATAAAGAACTCCCATATTGAAGGTGCCCTACTTTGAGCAACCAAAAAAATTTTTTAAAAACTAAACTTGATTACTTTTTGCTTCTAACACTACAAATATTACCTGGTCGGACCAGCCAATAAAAAATTTTTTTCCAACAATTTACATTCTGCCCCACTGTGGAATCTAATATACATCCTCCTTTCATATTAAGTAACTAAATTGCTAACTAAATGAAGTGATAACTTTTGAAGTGATAAAAATGTGATCTATTTATTTGGATTACTATAAACTTTTAAATTAACCCTCGTTATAGTCACGTGTAGCCTTAACTTGCTAAATTTCAACATGTTTCTGTATTAACAGGTTAAGTGAAATAATGTCAATAACCTAAATAGACATTGTTTAGGCTCTTGACATTTAAAATACGAGAGTAGTTTGATAAATATTAGGTAGGTAGTTAGGTAGGTTGATAGGAGGATGTATATTACATCAAATCCGAAGAAATACACCTACGCCACTATCGGGCCTGTTGTGCGCTCCTTATCATGAAAAAAAGGGGAACTGAATGAATTATTTTTTAGTGTTCATAAACTCAGTTTCCTGAACGTAATTCCTATGAATCTTAAAATCAGTGTTAGTCAGGAATGTTATTTCCGGAATAATATCACTTCCAAGATACTTGGATCTAACTTCGACGAATGCCAGGCAGTGGCAAAGAAAGTGCTCCAGAGTTTCACTGTCCTCTCCACATGCTCTACATTCGTCTGAATCCGCACGTCCAATTTTGATAGATGCTTCAGACTTGCTCATTTTGAGGATATTTTTCGTCTTGCTCTCATCAGGGTCACCCCATAAGATCTTCGTGGTTCTACCCACTGTTTCTTTATTCCAAGAGGCCTTATGGGATTCTCTCACCCATATTTTTAGTTCAGCTTTTGTTGCGTCGAATGGTTTCGCTTTTGTCAGGTTAACTGCCTCGAACTCCCTACCTTTTAAAGCTATTACATTCGACCTTTCGTTATTGACTACTCCCGAGTGGGCTGGTACCCATATGATGTGAACCTCTGGGAGAGTATTCAGTTAAATCTTTCTTACAATTCAATACGGTCTTAAATTTAGTTCTACCGCCTGATATCGCCCTATATTAAAAAAATTTAAATCAAATTACGGGATCTGTACTGATATCCCTATTCGTTAGAGATTATTTGAAATAACGACTTATATGGACAAGTGTTATAATTGGGTCTAAAACTAACACTTATTGTGAATCAACAACTAATTGATAAAATGTTCTTTAACTATTTGTGAAATGAATATAGAACGAAACTAGATATTAACAAGTGTTATAATTTGCTCTATAACTAATACTTATTGTGAATGTTTAAAAAACAACAAATAATTCAAAAATGTTCCTACAGTATCTGTGAAATTATCACGCAACCCACGTAATATATTGTTTTATCATTGTTTATGATAAATATAAATATAATAACTATTGATTGCTATTATTCATTTCTAAAACAAACCATTTGCAATATTAAACAAAAATTCTTCTTCATAAATAAAATAATAAACGTCATTAAATTAAAAGTAACTAGTAACAAGACAAAGGTAAGTAAATTTATTTAGTAAAAAGTGATGTGAAATGTTTAAAAAAAAGTGCATAGAAAAATTCTAATTATAAAATAATTTTCAAAATTTTTTTCTAGATCCTTAAACGTAACAAAACTAACGTTAAACAATTAAGCAATTGCAAATTTCAAGATAAATTTCTTTTATGAAATATTGAAGACAAAACTAAACAAACAAATTACATACTTTCCATGGTTACGTTAAAGAAATTTAAAACGTGCATATTATCTGTTTTAATTCTATTGTTTATAGATTAAATGCCTAGTCATATATAAATATTATCTTAAGACCATATTTGGTTGATATGTATCGCTATTAAAAACTAATTAATTAATTTACTTAGTAATCTAATTAAATATTTAAATATTTAACATTATTCTAAGATACATTTGGCAAACATTTACTTAAGGTTTTTCTTACTATATAAGTCCAACCATAAGAGGTACCCAACAGTTGCGATTTGCATCCTCAAGTTAGAAGTGTTATTAACAAATTAGCGAAAAAATGAAGTTATTTTATACCATATTTCTTCTGTGGTCTTTGATCGAAAGCAATAGAGTACAGGGACGAGCTTCCTTTGGAGGATCCAATTATGTGAATTCCTTCGGTACTATAGTTAAAGGTCTGGGTAAGGAAATACCTAATGTAATTCCTACTCCTAGTGAGTTGTTTAGGGCATCGAAACAAGTCTTATTTGGTTTACCCGAAACTGCTGTATTCCGTACTATTAATAATTTGTGTAAGTTGGAGTAAATTATAATTAAGTTTGGAATGTAATTTATCTTGATAATCGTGTTTAAGGCTCCGTGTATTTGGCTGCTGATACTATAAGTCCACGTGTTACACCCGATATGAGTGCCATGTCTTTGCGTTTACGTACACCTTGCGAGGAAACGAGTTACTCCCTAACTGAGGCTGAGAATATTTTGCAAAATCCTGACTTTGATGTTAACAAAAAGGTGGCTATATTCGTTACCGGTTGGACAGCTAGTTCGGAGGATGCTTATGTCAGCGATATGGCAAATGCTTTTCTTTGCAGAGGAGATTACAATTTCTTGGTAAATTTTGGGAAATTATTGTAAAGTGAATCACTTCAAGGAATGCTTTTTTTTAATTAAATTATATTAAGGCCTTAAATTCCTCCGATTCCATTGACACCTTATACACCTGGTCTGCCTATAATACCGAAGAAGTTGGTCGCCAATTAGCTGAAGCATTGGAAAAACTACATGAACAAGTACCGGCGGAAAATATCCATTTAATTGGTCATAGTTTGGGTGCCCATATTGTGGGCTATGCTGGCCGTTATTTTACTGAATATACTGGTGAAAAAATTGCCCGTATTACCGGTTTGGATCCCGCCAATCCTTGCTTTAATGAAGGAGAAGATTTATCGGGCCTGCAACGTGGCGATGCTGAATTCATCGATGTTATACACACAAACCCCGGTGTTTTGGGTAAAGCTAATTCTGTTGGTGATGTTGATTTCTATGCCGAAGGCATGGCTCCCATTAAACCGGGTTGTGTTAGATTTGGTTGTTCCCATGGTCGTGCTTATGAATATTTTACTGAGTCCGTTTATCCCGGTAATGAGGAGAATTTCTTGGGTGTACGTTGCAGCTCATTGAGTAAATTGAATAATGGTTACTGTACTGGTGAAGGATATCCAATGGGTTTTGCTGTACCTAATGATTTGAGAGGTAATTACTACTTGTCGGTGAATGCCCAGAAACCTTATGGAGAGAATAATAACGGTCGCGCTACAGTGCCAAGTGAGTGTGCTAATGTGTGTAATTAAATTTCAATTGAAATTTTCAAATATAAATGTTAAATAGTGAAGCATAATACAAATTTAAATAGTTTTTATTTGGGAAAAGCAACATTTAAAGGGACAAAAGTTCTATCTAAAATTTAATGGCGTGTCATTGGGATATTATTAAACCCCAAATTATATTAAGACATAACAACTGATTAATTTATTAGTGATAATGAAATATTTTCCTTCATCCCAAGACATAATTTGGAAAAATATATTCAAGAACAACTGCAACTGGGTGGCAGTTAAAAACCTTAAGTCAAGTAATTCAACAGGGAATTCAGAATGGAGTTATTGTCCGCCACAGTTTTTCTGTGGTTCGTGATCCATAGTAGTAGTGTTCAGGGCGTGGCCTCCTTTGGTATAACCAATGTAGTTGACTCAGTAAATGGTATTGTACAAGGTATTGGCAAGGAAATTACTTTCCTACTTCTAACACCCTCAGAGTTATTTAAAGCATCGAAGCAAATTTTATTTGGTTTACCTGAGACCGCTGTATTTAAGACCGTTCACAAATTGTGTAAGTTCAAGGAAAATGAAAGACTCTTATTTTAAATTCTTTAATAAAATGTAATTATATATTTAAGGTACTTTGTACTTATCGTCGGACCTCATTAAACCTCTTGGCCCATCCAATATGGACACAATGTCTTTTCGTTTACGTACTCCCTGTGAGGAATACCGTTTTCCCTTAACTCATACAGAGGAGATTTTGTTACATCCTAACTTTGATGTCAACAAAAAAGTGGCAATATTTGTGACGGGTTGGATGACCAGTTCGGATGATTCTTATGTCGGTAAAATGGCTAATGCTTTTAATTGTAGAGGAGATTATAATTTTTTGGTAAATCTTTGAAAATACTCTTTCGATAACTATCTTATGGATACTATGATTTGCTAATATTTTAAGGCTTTAAATTCCTCCGATGCCATACAAACCTTATATAGTTGGTCTGCTTTTAATACCGAAGAAGTTGGTAATCAAATGGCTCAAGGTCTGGCAAAACTAGTTGATAAAATACCACCTGAAAATATCCACTTAATTGGCCATAGTTTAGGAGCCCATATTGTTGGCTATACGGGCCGTTATTTTACCAAATACACTGGATTGAATATTTCACGTATAACTGGTTTAGATCCGGCTAATCCTTGCTTTAATGAGGGTGAAACTTTAACAGGTCTACAGCGTGGTGATGCCTCATTTATCGATGTTATACACACTAATCCCGGAGTTTTGGGCACCTCAAATTCTATTGGTGATATTGATTTTTTTGTCGACGGTTTAGCTCCTATTAAGCCAGGTTGTATAAAATTTGGATGTTCTCATACTCGGGCTTATGAATATTTTACGGAATCGGTTTATCCTGACAATGAGATGAATTTTATGGCTAAGCAATGTACCTCAATGGCGAGATTAAATAATGGTTTCTGTTCGGGTCCTGCATATCCAATGGGATTTGCTGTTCCATATGATTTGAAGGGTAATTTCTTTTTATCTGTTAATTCTCAATCACCATTTGGACAGAATAATAATGGTCGACCTGCGGTGCCAAGTGAGTGCGCGGTGAAGTGTATGTGAAAAATGTGATTTTATGCAAATTTTAAAATATAAATGTAAATATGAAAATGTCAAGTGTTGTTGTTTTTTTCATTTATTTCATCTCTGTGTGGATTTAAGAGTAATTAATTTTCATTCATATTTGGCTCCAACATTTAAGGAAGGGTTCAAAAATTTTTACGTTTAATTAAATTTTCATCAATGTGCTTAGGATTTCTGTCTCCCAAAGGTTACGTAATGCCTGCACTATTTTTCAGACAGAAACTGTCTTCATCGATACGGTACTGAAAAACATCTGGGAACTAAATCTCGAGACAAATGCCGCTGTCATATACATATGTAGAAAGTCTTGCATATGTCAAGATTCGCTCCTCGAACTTGTTAAATTCGAAATTTACTCTCAATTGCTTTCACTCCCAACTTGAATGATATTTTATAAAACCCAGTTGGAATCCAGGATACGCTATTAGGCGAAATTGTTTCTCAATAGGATAATCATTTTTTCTTTGGTGGGATACGATGAATGAGAGTTAGAAATATAGGAACTCAATTATATTTCGATGCCTTTCACGGAAAATTCCGTATGGAAAGTATGAGCTACGTAATAGCCACTGCAGAAGTTGTTTAGACGAGGAAAAGGAATCCGTAGAACTCCTGCTCCGCTCAACAAAAACTCTGACCGTGATATCTTGGTACAAGCCTCTTTTGTGCTTTGAACTGTCTAATGCTTCTAATCAAAATTATTAGAAGTACTGGATGACAACAATGGGTTAAATGATCTCACTCAACTTCCCATAGGTTAGCCTGATGTCCAATCATATTCCAAATTGACTTTTATGTATGTCAAACTGTTTACTGTACTTAGCACATTCCAGTTTTGTTTAAACATACGTATAATTATCTCAGTTTAAAACCAGAGCCTTTAGTGGGAATCTACGACCACGACTGTCAGACTACCGAGGCCTCGGTAGACTAATTGATAGTCGGTACCTATTTTTCATACAGAGTACCTCGCGATATTTTCCAATATTCACTATATGTGAATGAAATAAAATGCTCCTCAAAGTCTCGCTCTGTAAATGAAATAAGCAGAATTTTTCATCGTGACTAACTTAATTCCAAAGATGTTTGGGACAAACAACTATAAAACAAAGTATTTACTAACAAATAAAAAGCAAACAACCCTACAATACAGTATTATTTAACTAAAATAAATAAATAAAAATAAAACATATGTTCAGAATTAATTTGTTTAATAACTAAATATTTAATAACAATGAACGTTATTTCCAAATTATAACGAAAATTAATATAATTTTGGATAAGGTTTCTTAATATATAAGGCCATTGTTAAGTAATACTGCTTACCAATCAAACTTTTTACTTAATTAGAGATGAAGTTTTTTTCAACACTTCTTCTGTGGATGTTAATCCACAGCAATATTATTTTGGCAAAAGCATCTATTGAAATTTCCGATACCATTAATAATATTGTATCAGGACTTGATGAAGAAATTTCTAATGTAATATCAACACCTGAGAATTTATTAACACTGCCGATAGAAAATTTACTTGGCATGGCCGAGACGACCACATTTGAGTCCATTAGTATGTTATGTAAGTTCAGCAAATATCATGAATATAAACCATTAAAAATGTTGTGATTTTTATCTAAGGTGCTTTAATGGTACAAACTAATACCACCCAACCTTTCATAACACCCGATTTCAATGCAATGAGTTTTCGTTTGCATACTGCTTGCAATGAAACGAGTTTTCCTTTAAATCAAGCCGAAGATATTTTGCAAAGTCCAGATTTTGATGTTAACAAAAAATTGGCAATATTTGTTACCGGCTGGATCTCAAGTTCTGAAGCGGATTATGTGTTCGATATGGCTAATGCTTTTCTATGTAGAGGAGATTATAATTTCTTGGTAAGTTATTTCCGAACGTTCTGCAGAACTTTCAATGCAAATTGCTTTTAACATAACTTACAGGCGCTAAATTCCTCCGATTCTATTCAAACTTTATACACCTGGTCGGCCTATAATACCGAAGAAGTGGGACGTTATGTTGCCAAGGCTTTGGAAAAACTAACTGTTGAAATACCACCTGAAAATGTACATTTAATTGGTCATAGTCTAGGAGCCCATATTGTGGGCTATGCTAGTCGTTATTTTACCAATTATACTGGCTTAACTATTTCACGCGTCACTGGTTTGGATCCGGCCAAACCTTGTTTTGATGGCGGTAAACGTTTAGGTGGATTACAGCGTGGCGATGCTAAATTCGTCGATATTATACACACAAATCCCGGAGTTTTGGGTAAGGAAAATCCCGTGGGTAATGCTGATTTCTATGCCCAAGGTTTGGACCCTATTAAGCCAGGTTGCATAATATTTGGTTGTTCTCATTTTCGTGCATTTAAATTTCTAACTGAATCTGCTTACCCTGGTAATGAGCAGAATTTCATGGGTATTAGTTGCACTTCATTGATGGATTTGGAGAGCGGTTTTTGTAATGGTCAAGCATATCCAATGGGTTTTGCTGTTCCTTTCAATTTGACGGGTAATTTCTTTTTGACCGTCAATGCTGAACAACCTTTTGGGAAGAATAATGGCGGTCGACCTGCCGTGCCAAATGAATGTGAAAACTTGTGTAGTAATTGAAGAAAATTTTTTTAAATTATTAATATGTGATTTATATCAGAATTTTTAGTGTTATTAAATATAAAATATTTTATAAATTTAGACATTTTACTTACTAATTCAAAAATTGAAAATGAATTTCAAGAGGCAGCCATTTATATGGACTTTGTTTTTATGGATCTATCCTTTAATCATTTATTAGGAAATTATTGACTAGTTTTTCGCAATATGTGATTTCTTGGGGATAGTGTCAGTTTTTTAGAAAATAGTATAGTCTAGTCTATAGTCCAGTATATAGTCTAGTCTATAGTCTAGTCTATAGTCTAGTCTATAGTCTAGTCTATAGTCTAGTCTATAGTCTAGTCTATAGTCTAGTCTATAGTCTAGTCTATAGTCTAGTCTATAGTCCTAGTCTATAGTCTAGTCTATAGTCTAGTCTATAGTCTAGTCTATAGTCTAGTCTATAGTCTAGTCTATAGTCTAGTCTATAGTCTAGTCTATAGTCTAGTCTATAGTCTAGTCTATAGTCTAGTCTATAGTCTAGTCTATAGTCTAGTCTATAGTCTAGTCTATAGTCTAGTCTATAGTCTAGTCTATAGTCTAGTCTATAGTCTAGTCTATAGTCTTGTCTATAGTCTAGTCTATAGTCTTGTCTATAGTCTAGTCTATAGTCTAGTCTATAGTCTAGTCTATAGCCTAGTCTATAGCCTAGTCTACATTCTAGTCTATAGTCTAGTCTATAGTCTAATCTATAGTCTAGTCTATAGTCTAGTCTATAGTCTAGTCTATAGTCTAGTCTATAGTCTAGTCTATAGTCTAGTCTATAGTCTAGTCTATAGTCTAGTCTATAGTCTAGTCTATAGTCTAGTCTATAGTCTAGTCTATAGTCTAGTCTATAGTCTAGTCTATAGTCTAGTCTATAGTCTAGTCTATAGTCTAGTCTATAGTCTAGTCTATAGTCTAGACTATAGTCTAGTCTAAAAGGTGCTCTAATGGTGCAAACTAATACCACCCAACCTCGTATAACGCCCGATTTTGATGCCATGAGTTTTCATTTGCATTCTGCCTGCAATGAAACGATTTTTCCTTTGAATCAGATATTCTGCAAAGTCCAGACTTTGATGTACTTGGTCTGCCTATAATACTGTGGAAGTGGGACGTTATGTTGCCAAGACTTTGGCAAAATTAACCGTACAAGTACCTCCAGAAAATATTTCTTTAATTGGTCATAGTCTAGGAGCCCATATTGTGGGCTATGCCAGTCGTTACTAAGCTAATTATACTGGTTCAACTTTATCTCGTGTCACTGGCTTGGATCCCGCCAAACCCTGCTTTGATGGCAGTAAACGTTTACCCGGCTTACAACGTGGTGATGCTAACTTTGTCGATGTTATTCATACTAATCCCGGAGTTTTGGGTAAAGAAAATCCGTTGGGTAATGCTGACTTTTATGCTCAAGGTTTGGAACCTATTAAGCCGGGTTGCGATCCATTTGGTTGCTCACATAACCGTGCGGTTGATTTCTTTATAGAAACGGTTTATCCTGGTAACGAGCAGAATTTCCTGGGTGTGAGTTGTACTTCATTAATGGATATGGAAAGTGGTTTTTGTAATGGCCCCCTATATCCAATGGGCTATACTGTTCCATTGGGCTTGGAGGGTAATTTTTTCTTGTCCGTCAATGCAGAGAAACCTTATGGGCAGAATAATAATGGGCGCCCAGCTGTGCCAAGCCAGTGTGTAACTGCATGTAATTAAAGAAAATCTTTAAGAAAAATTTAAAGTAATACTTATATGTTAAAGTATATGATTTAAGCACGAATAAATCTTTTAAGTTTAAAATACCTATAAATTGTTATTGTACTTCTGATAGCATAAATTCCCTAAAAATCGTGTCAGATTGTAATTATGATGGTTCCCGTAAAAGTTTTATGAGTTCAAAGCAATTTAATCCACTCGAAGGCTTTGGTAAATAAACAAAGATAACATAAAACTTTACCAGACAAGGTAACATTAAAGGTTTCACAATGACGATATGTGTGTGATATAATAATATGGAAATTCTTATAGCTTGATGTAATCGGCTGTATTACAAATTGATCCATAATGTTATCGAAGACAATATTTGTCTTAATTGAAAAAGTCAATATGCACCCGGCAGTTATTTGCAGATTTAAATGATATATGTAAATGATATATTAGAAGGGAAGCAATTTTCAATTTAATTGGGATTTTTCTTTTCAATTAGAGTTACACATTTTCTTATCTCTATTCTTTACAGAATGACGAATAGTCTTTCATAAATTAAACTGAGAGATAATTGCAATGCTTCATATTATACCATGTCCAATAAAAAGGGAAAATTTATTTAGTTTTATCTTTCTTTTCTGGGTGTATTCTGAATAATTATATATATTCCATATCTATATGGCAAATCGTTTGTTTACGAAACAATCTAATTACTTAATTTCATTCTATACAAATTGCAAATTCTAATTTATGGCTTTTCTTTACTATAAAAAGGCAACAATAATAGATTTCAAACAGTTATAGTTCGGATACGTTAAGTCAAACTTTCAACTTAAGTTTCGAATTAAAAATGAAGTTGTTATACGTTATAGCTGTTTTGTGGTTTTTGCTAGAAAGGACTGAAGCTCAAAGAGGTACTCCAATTCATCCTTCTGATTTTTTGGATTCAATTGGCACTATTATTGATGGACTTGGGGAAGAAATCCCTCAAATAATACCAACTCCACAGGAGTTGTTCAATCAGTCATTAAATATATTAGTAGGTTTACCCGAGAGGGCTATATTCCAGACCATTAATCGTTTGTGTAAGTTGATGTTCGGGGATATGTACCGATATCTATCATACTTTATGAGTTTTGTGTTTTTTTTTTTTTTGTTTAAGGTTCTATATATTTGGCATCTGGCACTATTAATCCTCGTATAACGCCCAATATGGATTTAATAACTTTACGTTTGCGCACACCCTGTAAAGAATCGAGTTTTTCCCTAACAAACGCCGAGGATATTTTAGAAAGTCCTGACTTCGATATTAATAAAAAAGTGGCTTTATTTGTGCACGGTTGGTTGGGCAGTACGGATGACGATTATGTTAACGATATGGCCAATGCTTTTAATTGCAGAGGAGATTATAATTTTTTGGTAACTTTTTGTTTTAAAACATTTTAAAAGTGAACAAATTTTAAGAATTTTCAAAAAACAAATTTAAGGCTCTTAACACCTCACAAACCATTAGTACCTTATACACCTGGTCTGCTTATAACACAGAAGAAGTTGGTCACCAAACAGCCAAAGCTTTGGCGAAACTAATTGATAAAGTTCCAATAGAAAATATACACATAATTGGCCATAGTTTAGGTGCTCATATTGTGGGCTATATTGGCCGTTATTTCACCTATGAGACTGGCTTAAATTTGACACGTATTACGGCTTTAGATCCTGCCAATCCCTGTTTTAATGAAGGAGAATCTTTGTCTGGCATACAACGTGGTGATGCCGATTTTATCGACGTTATTCATACAAATCCTGGTGTATTGGGGAAATTAGATCCTGTTGGTGATGCTGATTTCTATGCTGGTGGTTTGGCTCCTATCAAGCCAGGTTGCTTTGTTTTTTCTTGTTCTCATTTTCGTGCTGTTAGATTTTTTACTGAATCCGTCTATCCCGGTAATGAGCGCAACTTTTTGGGTGTTCGTTGCACCTCGTTGTCCAAATTGGATGATGGCTTTTGTCCTGGCCCCGAATTTCCTATGGGTTTAGTTGTTCCTCTTGGTTTAAAGGGTAATTATTTCTTGCCAGTTAATGCTGATAAACCTTATGGTCAAAATAATGATGGTCGTCCGGCAGTACCAAGTCAATGTTTGGACTTGTGCAAATAAGGAAAGGAATTTTTATTTTTTCTATATTATTTTTATTAAATATGCATATTAAATAAAGTTTAAAAATATTATACATTGCAAATTAATAACTATTGAGAGTCCTTATAAATTAAGGTAAATCTAATGGAGTTGTGAACCCGAATTTCTCCATCATATCGGGTTTTCCAGATATCGTGTCATGAAAATACGATTTTGTTAATATTTGAGACGTGATAACAGCGCGATGACAACTCTTCTTAATAAAAATATTATTTTAACAAAATTAGAACTTTTTATTAAATATTTTTTTATTATTTTTTAATTTATTTACTTTTCTTGTTATTTTTACTAAAAAGAAGCTTTTCATTAAAAATATTTCTATTCTGGTAAAAATAAAAATTTTTTCAACAAAAAGCTTATTTTTACTTGAAAGAGCTTTTTCGCCAAAAAAGCTTATTTTATTTATTTATGCAGCAAATAACAATTTCATCTAAAAAGTTTATTTGTTAGAAACGAATACTAATTTTAAATACATTTTTTGCACAAAAGCTTATTTTTACTAAGGACAAATCTTTTATACAAAATGTTTTTTAAATAGCGTTAGAAAAAGCTTTTTTACAAAAGTTTTCACCAAAAAACCTAAAATTTATCACATTCATTTATTCATAATTACAAAAACCACATTCACTTAATATTAAATCACTATTATAACTGGCATTCTCTCCATACGGAACCTCCGAGTTCACACTCAACACATAAGTACCCTTCTCATTAAAAGGCACCTCTAAACCCATGATCACTGTGGCCGCTTTACACTGACCTCTTTCAGCTTTTCTCAAAGTGCTGCAACGTGTTGCTAAGAAATCCAATTCATGACCAGGATATACCGATTCGGCGTAATATTTCCAAGCTCTGGTATGCGAACAACCAAATGCCCGACAACCGGGTTTAATCGGAGCAAAACCCTGAACATAAAAATCTATATCACCTAAAGCATCACGTTTACCCAAAGCTCCCGGATTAGTGTGTATAACATCGACAAAATTATGGATTATGGATTTAATAACTTTACGTTTGCGCACACCCTGTAAAGAATCGAGTTTTTCCCTAACAAACGCCGAGGATATTTTAGAAAGTCCTGACTTCGATATTAATAAAAAAGTGGCTTTATTTGTGCACGGTTGGTTGGGCAGTACGGATGACGATTATGTTAACGATATGGCCAATGCTTTTAATTGCAGAGGAGATTATAATTTTTTGGTAACTTTTTGTTTTAAAACATTTTAAAAGTGAACAAATTTTAAGAATTTTCAAAAAACAAATTTAAGGCTCTTAACACCTCACAAACCATTAGTACCTTATACACCTGGTCTGCTTATAACACAGAAGAAGTTGGTCACCAAACAGCCAAAGCTTTGGCGAAACTAATTGATAAAGTTCCAATAGAAAATATACACATAATTGGCCATAGTTTAGGTGCTCATATTGTGGGCTATATTGGCCGTTATTTCACCTATGAGACTGGCTTAAATTTGACACGTATTACGGCTTTAGATCCTGCCAATCCCTGTTTTAATGAAGGAGAATCTTTGTCTGGCATACAACGTGGTGATGCCGATTTTATCGACGTTATTCATACAAATCCTGGTGTATTGGGGAAATTAGATCCTGTTGGTGATGCTGATTTCTATGCTGGTGGTTTGGCTCCTATCAAGCCAGGTTGCTTTGTTTTTTCTTGTTCTCATTTTCGTGCTGTTAGATTTTTTACTGAATCCGTCTATCCCGGTAATGAGCGCAACTTTTTGGGTGTTCGTTGCACCTCGTTGTCCAAATTGGATGATGGCTTTTGTCCTGGCCCCGAATTTCCTATGGGTTTAGTTGTTCCTCTTGGTTTAAAGGGTAATTATTTCTTGCCAGTTAATGCTGATAAACCTTATGGTCAAAATAATGATGGTCGTCCGGCAGTACCAAGTCAATGTTTGGACTTGTGCAAATAAGGAAAGGAATTTTTATTTTTTCTATATTATTTTTATTAAATATGCATATTAAATAAAGTTTAAAAATATTATACATTGCAAATTAATAACTATTGAGAGTCCTTATAAATTAAGGTAAATCTAATGGAGTTGTGAACCCGAATTTCTCCATCATATCGGGTTTTCCAGATATCGTGTCATGAAAATACGATTTTGTTAATATTTGAGACGTGATAACAGCGCGATGACAACTCTTCTTAATAAAAATATTATTTTAACAAAATTAGAACTTTTTATTAAATATTTTTTTATTATTTTTTAATTTATTTACTTTTCTTGTTATTTTTACTAAAAAGAAGCTTTTCATTAAAAATATTTCTATTCTGGTAAAAATAAAAATTTTTTCAACAAAAAGCTTATTTTTACTTGAAAGAGCTTTTTCGCCAAAAAAGCTTATTTTATTTATTTATGCAGCAAATAACAATTTCATCTAAAAAGTTTATTTGTTAGAAACGAATACTAATTTTAAATACATTTTTTGCACAAAAGCTTATTTTTACTAAGGACAAATCTTTTATACAAAATGTTTTTTAAATAGCGTTAGAAAAAGCTTTTTTACAAAAGTTTTCACCAAAAAACCTAAAATTTATCACATTCATTTATTCATAATTACAAAAACCACATTCACTTAATATTAAATCACTATTATAACTGGCATTCTCTCCATACGGAACCTCCGAGTTCACACTCAACACATAAGTACCCTTCTCATTAAAAGGCACCTCTAAACCCATGATCACTGTGGCCGCTTTACACTGACCTCTTTCAGCTTTTCTCAAAGTGCTGCAACGTGTTGCTAAGAAATCCAATTCATGACCAGGATATACCGATTCGGCGTAATATTTCCAAGCTCTGGTATGCGAACAACCAAATGCCCGACAACCGGGTTTAATCGGAGCAAAACCCTGAACATAAAAATCTATATCACCTAAAGCATCACGTTTACCCAAAGCTCCCGGATTAGTGTGTATAACATCGACAAAATTGGCATCACCTCTTTGCAGGCCAGCTAGAGATTGACCCTCACCAAAACAGGGATTGGCTGGATCTAAACCGGTGATACGTTGAATTTTCTCTCCGGTGGACTCTTCAAAGTAACGTGCTGCAAAACCGGCTATATGGGCACCTAAACTGAAGCCTATTAAATGTATATTTTCGGCAGGTACTTCTTTGTAGAGTTGAACCAGACCTTGGGCTACTATGCGTCCCACAGCCTCCGTATTAAAAGCAGACCAGGTGTATAAAGTGTCTATGAAATAGGAAGCATTTAAGGCCTGTAAAAGGAACTTAGATTAGTATTTTAATTTATTTTTTCATTAATACTTACCAAAAAATTATAACCTCCTCGACAATTATAGGCCTTAGCCATATGTAAAATACTATCTGATTCTATGGTAGAAGTCCAACCGCTTATAAATAATACTACGGGTTTATTAATATCAAATTCCTCGATATCTAAAATTTTCTCGGACTGTTCTATAGGATAACTTACACTGCTGCAAGGTGTACGCAATTGAAAATACATTTGTTGAATATCAGGGGTAATCATGGGATCAATATTACCGGATGATAGATATAAGGAACCTTTAAATATATTAAATATTAAAAAAGAATTTCGAAAAAATTAATTTTTTACTTACATAACTCATGTATTGTACGAAATACTGCCACCTCAGGTAAACCAAATAAAACTTGTCGAGATCCCCTCAATAGATCTCTGGGTGAGAGTACCCTTTGAGCCACCTGATTTCCTATGCCGGTAACAACAGATCGAGCGGAATCTATTAAATGGACAGGATTGAATAGAAAACGTGATTCTTGACACACTTGCAATGGTATTACACAGAAAATTGTTAATAAAATATATACGGATCTCATTCTAGATTCGAAGAAGTTATGTGTGTTTATTTGTTTAAATATAATCAAATACTAAAAGTTGGTGTAATTAATATTTGAATTTTTCAAAAAGTTATTAAGTGTTTTCTTTAGCGTTTATAATATTTAGAGAAAAAAAGTTTAGATTGAAATAAAAACTATTTTGTATTAAAGTTAAATAATACAGCGTTGTCAAATGTTTACTTCGGAGTAGGTGCCAGTCTTTGGAAACTGATCTCTAAAATAGTCGATCGTATTTGATGTGTGTAACAAGATATTTCAGTTTAAACTTCTGAGAAGGAAGTGGGTTACAGGTTAAGTTTTTTTGAATTCACAAAATCTAATAGCTGATCCGTAGAGAGCCTTAGGCTGTTCAATGCCAATCTCGTAATTGAGATTCGTCACATCGTAGACTGATTTGAAAAAAGTAGAAATGTGATAGAAATGTCTCAAAAGCCTTATATGAACATCTGATCAAGAAGAAATTTCGCTGTTCTGCATTTGTCACACATTTGTGACATACCTGCTAGACATGATAATTTAAAAGATTCGTATAATTATTAATGTGTTAGATTTTTAACTCACAGATGATTTGCATGAATAAAATAATTAATTCTAACTTTAGCGGTTTTTGTTCCGATGTGAGGGTTTTTTTTTTTTTTTTTTGAAAAATGTTTGTGAAAAAATTATTGTGACATAAACAAAAGACTAAATTAACTATATTATATTATTAGAGCGACTAAAAGTAAAATGGTTTATTAAATCACTCAAAATATTACTTGTTTTTTTCACATAATGTTAACGACGACAGTTTACAAGGTGGTGGACTCTTGTCAAAAAAGGTCATTTTGTATTAGAAACAAGAATTATAATATTACAAAGCTTCCCATGCAAAGTGAGTCAGTCTAATACTTACAGTATTGTTGGAAACCTCAGAAAACTAGTAGGGCGGCACACAAACCAGTCTAATCTTACTAATATTTTGGTTAAAATGTTCACAAAGCGTTAATTTTAAGGTTTTTACGAACTATAGAAGAACTAAACATATTTTAAAACTAAATGCTTATGTTTCGAACTATACTGTATATGTTAATTAATCGGTTAATTTTAATTTGTTAAAAAATTAATTTCATTTGATTAGTCGTTAACATTTGTATGACAATGTAAGCCCGTAAATTTTTCGTCTGAAGAGGAAACAATAGGCTTAGTTCCGTATTTTTAATAAATTTTTTTAGAGATGAATAAATTTTAATTCCTAACACCTCTAGCACTTCTAACTAACTAACTAACTACTAACTAACTAACTAACTAACTACTAACTAACTAACTAACTAACTACTAACAACTAACTAACTAACTAACTAACTAACTAACTAACTACTAACTAACTAACTAACTAACTAACTAACTAACTAACTAACTACTAACTAACTAACTAACTAACTACCTACTAACTAACTAACTAACTACTAACTAACTAACTAACTAACTAACTACTAACTAACTAACTAACTAACTAACTAACTAACTACTAACTAACTAACTACTAACTAACTAACTAACTAACTAACTAACTAACTACTAACTACTACTACTAACTAACTAACTAACTAACTAACTAACTACTAACTAACTAACTAACTAACTAACTAACTAACTAACTAAACTAACTAACTAACTAACTAACTAACTACTAACTAACTAACTAACTACTACTAACTAACTAACTAACTAACTAACTAATACTACTAACTAACTAACTAACTAACTAAACTAACTAACTAACTAACTAACTACTAACTAACTAACTAACTACTAACTAACTAACTAACTAACTAACTACTAACTAACTAACTAACTAACTAACTACTAACTACTAACTAACTACTAACTAACTACTAACTAACTACTAACTAACTAACTAACTAACTAACTAACTAACTAACTAACTAACTAACTAACTAACTACTAACTAACTAACTAACTACTAACTAACTAACTACTACTAACTAACTACTAACTAACTAACTAACTAACTAACTAACTACTAACTAACTAACTAACTAACTAACTAACTAACTAACTAACTAACTAACTAACTAACTAACTAACTAACTAACTAACTAACTAACTAACTAACTACTAACTAACTAACTAACTACTAACTAACTAACTAACTAACTAACTAACTAACTAACTAACTAACTAACTAACTAACTAACTAACTACTAACTAACTAACTAACTAACTAACTAACTAACTAACTAACTACTAACTAACTAACTAACTAACTAACTAACTAACTAACTACTAACTAACTAACTAACTAACTAACTAACTAACTAACTACTAACTAACTAACTAACTAACTAACTAACTAACTAACTAACTAACTAACTAACTAACTAACTAACTAACTAACTAACTACTAACTAACTAACTAACTAACTACTAACTAACTAACTAACTAACTAACTAACTAACTAACTACTAACTAACTAACTAACTAACTAACTAACTAACTAACTAACTAACTAACTAACTAACTAACTAACTAACTAACTAACTAACTAACTAACTAACTAACTAAACTAACTAACTAACTAACACTAACTACTAACTAACTAACTAACTAACTAACTAACTAACTAACTAACTAACTACTAACTAACTAACTAACTAACTAACTAACTAACTAACTAACTAACTAACTAACTAACTAACTAACTAACTAACTAACTAACTAACTAACTAACTAACTAACTAACTAACTAACTAACTAACTAACTACTAACTAACTAACTAACTAACTAACTAACTAACATACTAACTAACTAACTAACTAACTACTAACTAACTAACTAACTAACTAACTAACTAACTAACTAACTAACTAACTAACTAACTAACTAACTAACTAACTAACTAACTACTAACTAACTACTAACTACTACTAACTAACTAACTAACTACTAACTAACTAACTAACTAACTAACTAACGAACTAACCTAACTAACTAACTAACTTAACTAACTAACTAACTAACTAAACTACTAAACTACTAACTAACTAACTAACTAACTACTACTAACTAACTAACTAACTAACTAACTAACTAACTACTAACTAACTAACTAACTAACTAACTAACTAACTAACTAACTAACTAACTACTAACTAACTAACTAACAACTAACTAACTAACTACTACTAACTAACTAACTAACTAACTACTAACTAACTAACTAACTAACTAACTAACGAACTAACTAACTAACTAACTAACTAACTAACTAACTAACTACTAACTAACTACTACCTAACTAACTACTACTAACTAACTAACTAACTAAACTAACTAACTAACTAACTAACTACTAACTAACTAACTAACTAACTAACTAACTAACGAACTAACTAACTAACTAACTAACTACCTAACTACTATAACTAACTAACTAACTAACTAACTAACTAACTAACTACTAACTAACTAACTAACTAAACTACTAACTAACTAACTAACTAACTACTAACTACTAACTAACTAACTACTAACTAACTAACTAACTACTAACTAACTAACTAACTAACTAACTAACTAACTAACTAACTAACTAACTACTAACTAACTAACACTACTAACTAACTAACTAACTAACTAACTAACTACTAACTAACTAACTAACTAACTACTCTAACTAACTAACTAACTAACTAACTAACTAACTAACTAACTACTAACTAACTAACTAACTAACTAACTAACTAAGTAACTAACTAACTACTACTAACTAACTAACTAACTAACTAACTACTAACTAACTAACTAACTAACTAACTAACTAACTAACTAACTAACTAACTAACTAACTAACTAACTAACTAACTAACTAAACTAACTAACTAACTAACTAACTAACTAACTAACTAACTAACTAACTAACTAACTAACTACTAACTAACCTAACTAACTAACTAACTAACTAACTACGAACTAACTAACTAACTACTCACTAACTAACTAACTAACTACTACTAACTAACTAACTAACTAACTACTAACTAACTAACTAACTAACTAACTAACTACTAACTAACTAACTACCTAACTAACTACTAACTAACTAACTAACTACTAACTAACTAACTAAGTAACTAAGTAACTAACTAGTAACTACTAACTAACTAACTAACTAACTACAACTAACTAACTAATAACTAACTACTACTAACTAACTAACTACTACTACACTAACTAACTAACTAACTAACTAACTAATAACTAACAACTACGAACTAACTAACTAACTATAACTAACCTAACTAACCTAACTATCTAACTAACGAACTACGAACTACTAACTAACTACAACTAACTACTAACTAACTACTAACTAACTAACTAACTACTACTAACTACTAACTAACTAACTACTAACTAACTAACTAACTAACTAACTAACTAACTACTAACTACTAACTAACTAACTACTAACTAACTAACTAACTCTAACTAACTAACTACTAACTAACTAACTAACTAACTACTACTAACTAACTAACTAACTAACTAACTAACTACTAACTAACTAACTAACTACTACTAACTACTAACTAACTAACTAACTAACTAACTAACTAACTAACACTAACTAACTACTAACTAACTAACTAACTAACTAACTACTAACTAACTAACTAACTAACTACTAACTAACTAACTAACTAACTATAACACTAACTAACTACTACTAACTAACTAACTAACTATAACTAACTAACTAACTAACTAACTACTAACTAACTAACTAACTAACTACTAACTAACTAACTAACTAACTAACTAACTAACTACTAAAACTAACTAACTGTGGGACATGTTGTTGCATATCACTGTTGTTGTAAGTGCTCCATTATAAACACATTTATATATACTTGCACATGGGGAAGAGAAAAATATTGGTCTAGTCCACCAATCGGCGTATAATCTCTTTCTTATTGGATTTCAACATCATTTGATGGAATTTGGCGCATATGCTTCTTTGCCTTAAGAACAAAGCCTATTGAAAATTATTAAAATCGGTTAATTATTCCACCTAGCCACCCACACAACTGAATCCCCGAATATGCGGCAAAACTATGTTTTAAGGTATGATGGTGTAGGGTATCATATGGTCGGCCACGCCCGACTACACTTTATTATTTGTTAGTACTAAAACTTTAAATAAAATTTTTAGCTGGTCAGCTTTAACATTTCGTGAACATAAAGAGAACACAACAGTAAACATATTTTGTATTACAACTAAAATTTCAACTTATAGAACTCTTTGTGTTTTTTGTAATGTTTTCAAAAAATTTCCTACATCCAATCAATTACTGTAAATTTTTTTTTAATTTTATTTCCAATATTCCCTATTTTATACATAATTCTACATTCCAGACGCTTATGTATATGGACATTTTTTTGTGATTTTTTTTTTGTGCAAACTGCAGCCTGTATAAAATACAATTGAACCAAATTTAAACGTTTCAGTTTTAGGATAAAACACAAGACGATAACAAGTTTAATTTTTATTATTTATTAGGTTCTTTGTGTTAATTTTTTTTCTTGTGATAGTGTTTTGTTTAAATGACAATATGAAGTCATTTTTGTTCTTAAGTGTTTTAATTTATCTAAGTGTCTTCAATTCTATTGAGGGCATTGATTTGGGTTTGAAAAATATTGTGGATTCGGCGAAAGATGTTACGGCTGGTATGGCCAAGGATTTAACCAATAAGCTGCCCACGGCAAAGGGCCTTTTCGAGACGAGCAAACAATTGGTTGCTGGTTATCCATTTGAGTTTGTATCGACTTCGATTAATAAGATGTGTAAGTATCGAGTGGTGAAATTAATAATAAAAAGTTTAATTATTTATAAATTTAACAATAATTCTAATTTATAAATTCTAAAAAGATTTTTGGTTTTCTTTAAGTTTTCTTTGAATTTATAAACGTGGTTTTCTAACCTCAATCTTGAGAGTGAAATGTTTTTAGGTTAGGTTATTTGCAATTATTTAGTTTAACAAATATTTGATATTTTTTATCACAAACATGTTAGCTTTTATTATAATAAAATTTTGTTAAAATCATTTAACTTTTTCTTAAATTTCCCCGTAATAACTCTGCAAGTTTTGGACTTTGATCACAAATTGAGGTTAAGTTGTTTAAGTTGAATGCATAAGTATTTGAAAGAGATAGAAAACGATATTTTAATAATTCTTTATTTAAATGTTTATCAAACTCTCTCCTTTCCTGCATCGTTCTTCTTAAATGCGCAAAGAATAAAAGTTAAGTAGAAATATACATTAAAGATCTGGAATGTTCGAAAACAAAAGGAGTGGAAAGATAAATAGAATCAAACTTGCTGAAGTTCGAAATCCGTTTCGATTTAGAAATCGTAAAAAAGAGAACAAGAAGCTAGTTTGAGTTTGTGAGAGATGGATGGAGGAAGAGGGAGATAGGGGAAAATATCAAGAGAAAATCTCTATAAAACGTAAAGTTTTGAAAAAGATTTTCTAAAGAGAACAAACTAGTCTATAGCCTATTGACTAGTCTAGGGACCAGTCCATGGTCTTGTTTATATGGTCTAATCAATTGGTTAGTCTATGGAATAGTCTTTGGATTTGCCTTTTGACTTGCCAATGAACTAGTGTATTGATAGTGTTTGGACTAGTCTAATAACTAGTTCTTGTTCGCAGAAATAGTCAAATGATTAGGCTATGAAATAGTGTACTGAATAATCTATATAATAGTCCAAATACTACTTAATGGACCAGTTCATACACTTGTCCATGGACTAGTACATGTACTTGTTATTCTATGGAGTAGTCTTTGAAATAGTCCATGAACTAATCTGTGGATTAGTCTGTGGACTATTCAACGGATAAGTCTATAAATTAGTCTTCTCTATTGTAAGGCTAATGTATGGACCAATCTGTTGGCTTTGGATTAGTCTATGGGTTTGACTCTGAATTGAATCTCTGAATTAACCATTGACTGAATAATGGTAGCCTACTGATGGATTCTATGCATTAGTCTATGAATTGGAATATCTGTGATTTAGCCCATTGGCTTTTCGACAAACAAGTCTATTGACTAGTCTGCTGACTGATCTATGGTCTAGTCTACAGATCAGTCTATAGACCAAATAATCTGAAGAATTACTGTGTAGATTTCTGAAAATTATATGATTTAGTCTATTGATTAATCAAGTAGAAAGTCCATTTATGGACTTGCGTTGTAAAAAGTTTAGGAAAAGTACGGAAAGACCCTTATTTGATATGGTTTTTCGAAAAAATATTACAAAAATCTACAATTTGTAACTACAGGTTCCTCTGCCCTATCATCGCAAGCTGTAACTCCGAAATATTTGCCCGACATCAATAAAATGCATTTCCAATTGAGAACAGCTTGTAATCGTTACAATTATCCCCTACTAAAGGCAAATGATATGTGGACTAGTAAGGAATTTAATCCCAAAAATAAGGTAGTATTATTAGTCACCGGTTGGACCACCTCGGTAGATGATGATGAAACCATAGCCCTGTTCGCTAAAGCCTATAGTTGCCGTGGTGGAGTAAACTTTGTGGTAAGTGAGAAAACTTTTTAAAGCTATATAAACAACTAAAATCATTATATGTGTAACCCTTAAAGGCCCTCGATGCTGCCGGTTTTATTGAGACTCTTTACTCATGGTCAGCTTTTAACACCGAAGCCTTGGGCATGCATATTGCTGATGGCCTGAAGCAGTTAGCTGAGATAGTGCCGGTAGAGAATATACATTTAATAGGTCATAGTTTGGGTGCTCATATAGTGGGTGCTGCTGGTCGCCATTTTGAATTGAAAACCAAAAAGACCATACCACGTATTACCGGCTTAGATCCTGCCAAACCCTGCTTTAATGAAGGCGAAGCTTTGTCGGGTTTACTAAGAGGTGATGCTGATTTTATTGATATTATACACACTAATTCTGGTGTTTTGGGTAAACGTGATCCCTTGGGTGATATTGATTTCTATCCCGGTGGCTTGGATCCTCTACCTCCCGGCTGTGTGGGTATATCTTGTGCTCATGCCAGAGCTTGGGTCTACTATGCTGAGACTATTTATCCTGGTAACGAGAAAAATTTCATGGGTACCCGTTGCAGCTCTCTAACACGTTTGCGTGAGGGTAAATGCCCCGGCAAGGAGGTGCCCATGGGTTATGCTGTGCCCACCGATGCTAAGGGTAATTATTTCATGGAAGTACGTGCTAATGCTCCTTACGGCATGAACGGTAATAAACATGATCTATTGAAATATGAGAAATGTGGTGCCTGTGAGGAGACTGATAATAGGAAGAAATCTGAATAATGAGATTTACTTGGAGGTTCTTTTCACCCCTCCTAGGAGGCAATTTTTGATTGATTGTATTACTTGATTATTTATTCTTTTTGTGTTTGTCTAAAAATGTTAATGTGTGTTTTTTATTATTTTTATTATTCTAAAAACTAAATTATGTGTATACTTTTTTTTTGAGGATTTAAATTGTGATTAAATTGATAAACTTTAAACTTGTTTGTGATTTGAAATAAAACTATTTTATGTCTTGTGTGAACTTATGAAAACTAAAAGTAATTGTTTTTTTATTGTTTTAATTATTGGGGTATTAGGTAGGAAAAGAAATTTTGGTTTTACTTTATTTATATGAGAGATTTATGATTTCATTTGTCGATCGTCATTAAGTTTTAGAAAAATTAAAGTGATTATACTTTCATAATCACTTTCTCAAAGATATAAGTGATCGTATGCCATTAGATTCTATGTCCCAAAATTTAGTTTCGGCCCTTTTCTATGTCATTTTCACATACTTAGAGTGTTATTCAGCATTGTACCCAATCTTCATAATAATCATCAGATTTATTTATTATTTTTTTGCTTAGTTGCTAAAATAATAAAATTTATTATTCCAAACAATTTTGTGTATTAATCCTAAACAAAAAGTGAACAAACAAATTTCGCATTAAAATGGTCTTCCCCAACTAAAATTCTTATCAACCGATTAAAACCAAATATTTTTTTTTTATATAAAGTCACTAAAGACATTTAAAGATTAATATTTTATAATAAAGAGTTATAATCTGTTTTGTTTTTCTAACTAATTCTTTAATAAACAATAGTTGTTTGTACACATGTATTTGAATAAATAGATTAATTTATATTCATAAATTTATTAAATTATTAGGTACTCTACACGAAAAAATTAATTTTTTTTTTTAAATTTAAAATGTTTGTGTCAAAAGAACCTTTAATTGATTAAAATCAGTGTTAGGCAAGAAGTCTCTTGTTCTCAAACTGTCATACGCAGGTAAGAATATACAGTGTTAATTTTCTCTCTCTGCCTATGCCTGATTAATGAACACAAATTTTGGACTTTAGAAAACAAATTCGAACTTTAAATTGAATGTTATAATCGTCCAATTTTGAGTCAAAAGAACAAAGTATTTTTTTATTTGGAGTTATAACAATTTTATAGGGCTTTTCACAGTCTGCTAATATCAATTGTATTAAATAAATTTATATTTTTATTAAATGTGAGTCAATTTGCCGCCAGTAGCATTAAAACACAATAATAAATATTATAGCTGACAAAAATAAAAAAAAAAGTTGAGAATCGTATACTTCCTATTAGAAATTCATTAAACGTCGAAAGTGTTGGGAGGCATAACTATATATTTACAAAGCAATGTACGCCAGAAAAACCTAAGTGACATTTTTGAAATTTTACCATACTTACCATTCTCGATTGAAGATCGTGGATTGGTTTCTCACTCTGGAAAAGAACGCAACGCAAATCCTCCTTACTAACTAACTAACTAACTAACTAACTAACTAACTACTAACTAACTAACTAACTAACTAACTAACTAACTAACTAACTAACTAACTAACTAACTAACTAACTAACTAACTAACTAACTAACTAACTAACTAACTAACTAACTAACTAACTAACTAACTAACTAACTAACTAACTAACTAACTACTAACTAACTAACTAACGAACTACTAACTAACTAACTAACTAACTAACTAACTAACTAACTAACTAACTAACTAACCTAACTAACTAACTAACTAACTAACTAACTACTAACTAACTAATCTAACTAACGAACTAACTAAACTAACTAACTAACTAACTAACGAACTAAACTAACGTAACTAACTAACTAACTAAACTAACTACTAAGCTAACTAACTAACTAACTAACTAACGACTAACTAACCTAACTACTAACTAACTAACTAACTAAACTAACTAACTAACTAACTAACTAGAACTAACTAACTAACTAACTAACTAACGAACTAACTAACTAACTAACGAACCTAACTAACTAACTAACGTAACTAACTAACTAACTAACTACTAACTAACTAACTAACTAACTAACTAACTAACTAACTACTAACTAACTAACTAACTACTACTAACTAACTAACTAACTAACTAACTAACTAACTAACTACTAACTAACTACTACTAACTAACTAACTAACTAACTAACTAACTAACTAACTAACTAACTAATAACTAACTAACTACTAACTAACTAACTAACTAACTACTAACTAACTAACAACTAACTAACTAACTAACTAACTAACTAACTAACTAACTAACTAACTAACTAACTAACTAACTACTAACTAACTAACTAACTAACTAACTAACTAACTAACTAACTAACTAACTAACTAACTAACTAACTACTAACTAACTAACTAACTAACTAACTAACTAACTAACTAACTAACTAACTAACTAACTACTAACTAACTAACTAACTAACTAACTAACTAACTAACTAACTAACTAACTAACTAACTAACTAACTAACTAACTAACTAACTAACTAACTAACTAACTAACTAACTAACTAACTAACTACACTAACTAACTAACTAACTAACTAACTAACTAACTAACTAACTAACTAACTAACTAACTAACTAACTAACTAACTAACTAACTAACTTACTTACTAACTAACTAACTAGAAACAGATTTAAGATTTTGCAAGCCTGTCAGTCTGGGGGTTGTGGGTTTGATTCTTACTATATACTTTGGTCTGCTGTACTGCAACGGGAGTACAGTCACTCCCTCGGTAAATTAGGTTATGATATAATTTGTAATTGTATTGTAATGGACAAGTAAATAAAAAGGGCTTTGTATAGAATGACTTTGTTGAAGATTTTCTTTATATGTATGCCGAAATAAAATAAGTTGGTGAGGAGCTTAATAGCGCCTATTAATTACTAATAATTTTTAAAAACTTTAATAATATTGAAAAATATTTTTTTGAATTTTTTTTAATATCAATATGCCAAAATGTGTAAATGAAGTATTATTTGTGTATATAGTTAGGCTTCTTTCCCATAATCTTAAATTTAAATAAAAGTCTTATATGTATGTACTTTATATATTTTTTAGTATGACAACTGAGTACTACTCGTATTCGCATGTATTGTAATAATTTTTATTCGATTCCCATATATGACTGATAAACAGACAGACGTGATGTTTTAAGTCGCCTGTATAAAATATTTATTTTAAAAAATTTTATATTTCAGTTTTAGATCAAAACTCAAGGTAGTCGGTCAGTTTAACACACAAAAAAAAAAAAAAAAAAAAAAAAAAACGAGATCTATTGTGAATTTTGTTTACAATTGAAACTATTTAATTATAAGCATCATTATCAACATGAAATCGAAACGTTCTATATTAAAAGTTTTCATTTTGATATGCTCCTTAAGTGTTATAAATTGTGCTGATTTTGGTTTCAAAAATGTTTTCAAATCAACGGTAGATGTAACATCGGGCGTTGCGAAAGATGTGGCCAATAAATTGCCTACACCAAAAGGTCTTTTCGAGACCAGTAAACAAGTTATAGCCGGCTATCCGTTTGAGTTTGTGTCGTCTTCAGTAAATAAGATATGTAAGTGGTTATTTGTGAAAATGAAATTTAAGTGAAATTATTTTACAAAAAAAAACAAATAAAGATAAATTAAAAATTTAATAAAAATATAAATTTAATTTGTAATCAAACTAAACTTTGATGAATGTTAAGTGATAAACAGATTTGTATTCAGTTTTCGCAATCTCGAATCCCTGGAAAAATTTTAATAATATTGGTATTTTACATCGTGTAATTTTTCTATAGAAAAAGTAGCTGTAATTCCAGCAATTTTTTTTTAGCTGTAATTTCAGCTATTTTTCTATAGAAAAAGTAGCTGTAATTCCGGCAATTTTTCTATAGAAAAAGTAGCTGTAATTCCAGCAATTTTTCTATAGAAAAAGTAGCTGTAATTGCAGCAAACTTTTCTATAGAAAAAGTAGCTGTAATTGCAGCAAACTTTTCTATAGAAAAAGTAGCTGTAATTGCAGCAAACTTTTCTATAGAAAAAGTAGCTGTAATTGCAGCAATTTTTCTATTGAAAAAGTAGCTGTAATTCCAGCAATTTTTCTATAGAAAAAGTAGCTGTAATTCCAGCAATTTTTCTATAGAAAAAGTAGCTGTAATTCCAGCAATTTTTCTATAGAAAAAGTAGCTGTAATTCCAGCAATTTTTCTATAGAAAAAGTAGCTGTAATTCCAGCAATTTTTCTATAGAAAAGTAGCTGTAATTCCAGCAATTTTTCTATAGAAAAAGTAGCTGTAATTCCAGCAATTTTTCTATAGAAAAAGTAGCTGAAATTATAGCTAGCAATTTTTCTATATAAAAAGTAGCCGTAATTCCAGCAAACTTTTCTATAGAAAAAGTAGCTGTAATTCCAGCAAACTTTTCTATAGAAAAAGTAGCTGTATTCCAGCAATTTTTCTATAGAAAAAGTAGCTGTAATTCCAGAAATTGTTCTATAGAAAAAGTAGCTGTAATTCCAGCAATTTTTCTATAGAAAAAATAGCTGTAATTCCAGCAATTTTTCTATAGAAAAAATAGCTGTAATTCCAGCAATTTTTCTATAGAAAAAATAGCTGTAATTCCAGCAATTTTTCTATAGAAAAAATAGCTGTAATTCCAGCAATTTTTCTATAGAAAAAATAGCTGTAATTCCAGCAATTTTTCTATAGAAAAAGTAGCTGTAATTCCAGCAATTTATAGATAGAAAAAGTAGCTGTAATTCCAGCAATTTTTCTACAGAAAAAATAGCTGTAATTCCAGCAATTTTTCTATAGTAAAAGTCTTAAAACAGATAAGAGGATTCAACCATATCTTCAGTTTAAAATTCCCATCTGGCTAATAATCTCATAAATGAAACCATTCTTTTAGGCTCTTCCGCTCTCGCGTCACAGACCATAACTCCCAAATTTACACCCGACATCAATAAAATGCAATTTCAACTAAGAACGGCCTGTGATAGATACAGTTTTCCGTTATTGAGAGCCAATGATATGTGGACAAGTCCACATTTTAATCCAAATAAAAAGGTTGTAATCTTAGCAACAGGATGGACCACCACCGTTAATGATACCGATACAATTGATGTATTCGCCAAGGCCTATAATTGTAGAGGAGATGTTAATTTTGTGGTAAGTAAAAAGATACTCTACGCAATCGGTTTAGTTACTTAGAAAGTTTCTTATTTTAGGCCGTTGATGCTGCTAGTTTTGTGGATACTTTGTACACTTGGTCTGCCTTTAATACCGAAGATTTGGGCATGAATATAGCAGAGGGTCTTAAGCAATTAATTAAAATTGTTCCTGTGCAAAATATACATTTAATAGGTCACAGTTTGGGTGCTCATATTATGGGTTCTGCTGGTCGTAATTTCCAACTCATGACTGGCCTGTCTATACCCCGTATAACCGGTTTGGATCCTGCCAAACCCTGTTTTAATGAGGGTGAAACGCTATCGGGTCTATTGAGAGGTGATGCTGATTTTATCGATGTTATACACAGTAATCCTGGTGTCTTGGGTAAACGTGATCCTATGGGTGATATAGATTTCTATCCTGGTGGTTTGGATCCTTTACCCACCGGTTGTCTTAGTGTCGTATGTGCTCATGCCCGAGCCTGGGAATATTTTGCTGAGACTGTATATCCTGGCAATGAATTTAATTTCATAGGAGCTCGCTGCAGCTCTTTAACACGCTTGCGCGAGGGTAAATGCCCTAGTAAGGAGGTGCCCATGGGTTATGCAGTGCCCTATGATGTTAAGGGTAACTATTTTTTGGAGGTTAATGGTGAATCCCCATATGGCACGAATGGCAACAAACACCGTTCATTGAGTTTCGCTGAATGTGGCAACTGTGAGGAGAAGAAGAATTAGTTAACTTTTGAGATTATTTCTTAAGAAAATGTTATCTTTTGTGTTTAACTTTGTTAATTTTTTTCTAACATTTTATTAACATTTAATAATTGTTATTAGATTTTATGTGTGCATTTTTTAATACCAGTTATGTTAAGTAATAACATTATGTTTTGTAGTTTTTCTTAAAAAACTATTATTAAAAGTTATTAAAATTTAATTATCTTTTATTTCTGAGGGTATTTATTTTAGTGTAATTTTCATAACTTGTAAATGAGTAGTGTAGGGTATAAAACTATAAAAATTAAACTATAAAATTTAATTATTACATTAAGAAATATATACAAGTATTGAAATAAGTTTTTGTGCAATGTGGGCTCTAAGAACTTTATTACATTTTGGCTAGCAGTTCATGTTAAAGAAGACAGACAGACAGACAATTTATAAATGACCCTCAAAATTTTTAATGTTTCCACTAGTCTCAACACAATACCTATAGTGAAACATTTTTTTTTTTTTATTTTCTGCTTGAAGAAGATTTAAGAACTTAAATATAAAGTCTGACTTAAATAGCGGAAACAATTGTTGTTTCTGTTGCAAGAGTGTGTCTTTTTTTATTGGATGTATGAAGCTTTTGCAAGTTAGTTTTTTTTTTTCATTTTGCCACTATTGTGTGTAAATGTTAAACCATCAGTTTAACCTGTTGATGACTAAACAAGAAGAGACATTCAGACCGACATGAATGAGTTGAAAATTACCCATAAAATAAATTCCATGCAGCTAAACAAAGTGTCATTTACAAAAAAAAATTGCATTACATTTGTTGCATTTTAAGTTTGCGCTGGAGTTTTGAAGCGGCCATGACGAATTGTAATGAGAATTTTTTTACTTTTGAAGCAAATTTTTAATTGCTACGTTTTACTCTTACACCCTTAAAGTGTCTGAATCTAATCCATACAAAAATGTAAACTTTTCAACACATATTACTTTAAAAGAATGCTTGTGTTTCTATAGGAATGTTGCCTGAATAAAACCCGAAAAAACGTTTGAATACTTCTTTTGAAAACTTCTTTTTCTATACAAAAAGTTTCGTGAAAACTACTTTTGTATAAAAAATGTCCAAGCTACTTTTCCTTTTGAAAACTTGTTTGTGTAAAAGCTTGAATGAAAACCCGTAAAGCCATTTGAATACTTCTCTTGAAAGCTTCTTTTTCTATACAAAAAGTTACGTAAAAGCTGCTTTTGCTTAGAAAAGTTTCCAAGCTACTTTTTCTTTTGAAAACTTGTTTGTATAAAAGCTTGAATGAAAGCTACTTTTTCGATAGAACAGTTGCTTTAATGAGAGCTAAACTTTTCTAAAGGAAAGTTGCTTTAATAAAAGCTCCTTTTTTAAGAAAAAAGTAGATTGAATGAAATCTAATTTTTCTGCAGAAAAGTTGTTTCAAATTTTTCTCTAGAAGAATTGCTTGAATGAAAGCTTGTTTAAAAATAGAAAAGTTGTTTGAATGAAAACTTTCTTTATTAAAGAAAATTGCTTAAATAAGCGGCGATTTCTGCAGAAATGTTTTTGAAAGAAAAGTTTATTGGATTAAAGGCTTATTTTTTTTATAGAAAAGTTGAATAAATAAAAGCTTCAATGAAAGCTACTTTTTTGTATAAAATTTGCTTCAATAAAAGCTGCTTTGTCTATGTAAAAGCTGATCGAATAAAAGATACTTTTTTTGTAAAAAAGTTGCTTGAATAAAAGCTCCTTTTTCTATGGAAAGTTGCATGAATTAAAACTACATTTTCCATAGAAAAGTTACTTGAAAGAAAACTACTTTTTCTATACACAAGATGCTTGAATGAAAGCTACTTTCTCTATACAAAAGTTTCTTGAATGATAGTTACTCTTTCTATAGAAAAGTTGACTAAATAAAAACTTTTTTCTTATAGAAAATTTGCTTAAATAAAAGCTTGATTTGAAAGCTATGTAAAATGTGTAAAAATGAAAACTACTTTTCAACAGAAAAGTTGTTCAAATAAAATGCGCTTTTTCTATAGAAAATTTGCTTAAAAAAGCAACTACTTTGTCTCTAAAAAAGTTCATTGAATGAAAGCTGAATTAGAGCTGCTTTTTCAATAGAAAAGTAACTTGAATGCAAACTACTTTTTCTATAGAGAGTATGCTTGAATGAAAGCTACTTTTTTCTATACAAAAGATGCTTGAAAGAAAGCTACTTTTTTTAAAGAAAAGTTGCTTCAATAAAAGCTACTTTTTTTACAGAAATCTTGTTGGAGTTAAAGCTACTTTGCGTATAGAAACTTCTTCTTGAATAAAAGGTATAGTTTTTTAAATGAAAGCTACTTTTTGTACTGATACGTTGCTTGAATGAAAGCTACTTTATATATAAAGAAGTTCCGTGAATAAAAGCAAATTATTCTATACAAAAGTTTTTTACATGAAAGACAGTTTTTTTAGGAAAGTTGCTTGAAGGAAAGCTGTTTTTTGTAGAAAAGTTGCTTGAATGAAAGCTTCGTTGTTTTTAGAAAAGCTCTTTGAATAATATCTTATTTTTCTGTACAAAAGATTCTTAAATGAAAGCTAGTTTTTTTTATAGAAAAGTTACTTCAATGAAAGCTACGTTTTATGTGTGAAAAGTTGCTTGAATAGAAGCTTTTCTTTTTCTACAGAAAAATATACTTTCCTTCAAACAACTTTTTCTATAATATAGAAAAAGTTTATTTTATTCAGACAAATTTTTAGGTTTTCGGATTCAAGCAGCTCTAACAGAAACAAGTATGTACTGTGGTTCCAAATAATAGTCTATAAACGTTCCTTATCAAACAACTGAACATAAGCTTTGTGCTTGGTTTCAGTTTGTGACAAATGATTCAAGTCCTTTAAGCTTTAAAAAGTTTAATTAACACTATTTTATTAAAACTAAGTATTCTTCCTTACCTCAGGTAGTGCAGTTTAAACAAGTTTATTTTAAAACTAAGGGGCTTATATTGTAACTGGTAAAAAATCTGCTTGAAAGAGTTATACTTCTGCTGTTGAGTAAAACAAAATTAAAACTGAAATAACAAGATGCTCGATAATCTCTAAACAGGGAGGTTTGCCAAATAGTTATTGTATACATATGTAGTATGTATACTTATTGCGTACAATTATTTGGCTAATGTAAATATGATTGAAGCAATTGTAGGAAATACCAACACATCATGTCCAGCCAAGTGTCAAGTAAATAAAAGATTTTAAGATCTTTTACTTAAAAGTGTGTTTGGTTATATAGAAACATATATACATTTTTTGTATATAAAATAAAGCAACTTTAAGTGGTTGACCCTGGTCAGTTGTGGGTAAAGAGTTGTTTCAATAAGAATTATATAGTAAACCTATTAAATTTATATAAAGTAGATGTTCTGGTTTTTATATGGGTTTGGTTACATACACAAAAAATCTTCTTCCTATCTCTCCTTTGAAATAGCAAGAATAACAACAAATTTAATAAACTGCAGCATACATACAATTACTTTTTTTTTAACATTATATGCATATATATTTTTTCGGGTTTTTGTGTTGAAACTGTTCTGATGTCTGTCTCCATATGTCATTTTAAGTTTAAGCCCCTATGACATAAAAATTACTTTTTGGTCTCATATAAATACCACAAGATAAGTGCATTTCAATTACAGTCTTTCAACGACAACATTCGATTTGCATTCGAAAAATTCGGATTTTAAATTAGTGCTTGAGAAATTGATTCCGGCTTGAAACCATGAAAGTTTTTATCATTTTGTTTGCTTTAATTGCTGTTGCCTCGGCAGGATTTATTAAATCAGGATGGTCTAGCGGTGGTTATGGTGGAGGCTATGGTGGTGGCTATAGTAGTGGTTATGGCGGCGGCTATCACGGTGGCTATGGAGGAGGTTATGGCGGAGGATATGGTGGTGGTTATGGTGGTGGAGTCAAAGTTGTTAAAGTCATTCGCTTAGGCGGTGGTCATGGTGGTGGCTGGAACTATGGTGGTTATGGTGGCTATGGAGGTGGCAGTGGTTGGTGGTAATAATATTGCAGAAAGGAACATTTGTGAAAAGTATTTAATATTTCCTGAAGTGCGTACCCTGTGTTAAATATTGTAAATTATGTTTTGTAAAGTTGTTTATTATTTTTTCTGGTGATAATTAAGACGAATAAAATTTTGTTTATCTAAATGTTAAATAGAAGAGTTTTTTTCGTTTGAAGAAGGAACTATAAAGTAAATGAAGTGTAAAGAGAATGTGTAACAATAAAGCAAGAGAACAGTAAATAGAACGAAAATGAATAAAAAATATACAGAAAAATATTGTGATAACTGGAAGATCGCAAAGAGTAAAAGAAAATTCAAAGCAAAACCAAACAAGTAAGAATTTATAGGCGGCCATGGCCGACCATATGATACACTACACCAGTGATTATGTTAAACATTTTTGATTACTTTTTTTAATAATAAAGTATTTCATTTAATTTTTACCTTAATTCAGAAATATTTTAACAATTTGTTGACAAAACATGGATTTTCTAAAAGAGGGGTTATATGGGGGCAGGGGGTTAATATGGTCCTATCCTTATAAATTTTGGTAGAGGGATTTACGCTTACATCAGTTATTTATGCAGAATATCATTGTGATATTAGTGTTTATAAGTGAATTTTGACAATCAAGACATTTTCTGAATGGGACTTAGTATGGGAGATAGGGTCAAATTAGGCCCGGTCATTACGAAATTCAGCAATTTAAAACTAAACCGATTTTTGGAGTGATACAAGAACATTTAACAGACGGACGGACTGATAGACAGACGGGCATTGCTAAAACGACTCAGAAAGTGATCAATTCGTATACTTTAAGGTGGGTGTAGGACCAATATTTTTGGGTGTTACAAACATCAGCACAAACGCCACCACAAACCCTACACCACTACAGTGGTGTAGGGTATAAAAAACAAGTGACAAAAGCTGTTTGAAAAAAGGTATGATCATATGATCTTAAACAGAAAAACAAAATTGAGATATTATAAATAGTGTTATTGTACTTTTCAGATAATATCTAAAAAGAAAAGTGTTTTATTAACATTTACTAAAGCTATGTCGAAATTATGAAAAATTAATTAAATAATGAAAATTCGATCAAATTAACTCGACAACGTTAAGGTAATTAGGCCCCGATCTAAACTTTTCCGTTTAGCTGTTATTTTAAAAAGTACAAAATTTTTAGTACTTTTTAGGTACAATTTTGACACTAAATAAAATGCATAAAGCTCATTACTAAAGGAGACAACAATTATGAATATAAAGACAGATAATAAAAAAAGAGATAAATTGTAAATCAAGGCGAATCTGTAAAAGAGAAAGTTATTGATGAATTCCAAAAACTGAGGCGAATTCGATATATTATTCTTATATGGAGTTATGTTGTGAGAGACAAATCACATGTTGAAATGACTTTACTAAGGCGAATTGATTCATTCTGATCACAGCCACTTAAATTGTGTTCATCAAAATGTGTATATCACAAAGTTGTTAAACTATATATAAAACAAAACTCTATTACAATCCTAAGTTGTCAAAATATTTATAAAAAAATATATAATAAATACGTCCAAAATTTCTAAAAATTTTTTAGATTCGTCTTCGAGTTTGACAATACATAAACTTGTCCTGATTAAAACAGAGTTTTGATTGTAAGGTTCAGAAATATATATAAAGTTCAGCAGAGAATTCACTGTGAGAGCTTCGATAAACAGTAAACATTGTAATCAAGTCAATAGTTTACACTTCAGTCAAGACTATTGTAAACAATATAGTCAAGGTCTGAGTCCAAAACTATAGATCAGTTTATAATCATGACTATATGCTTAAACTATGGTAAAAATTATATTATTATCTATAGTCAAGAGTCAGAACTATAGATCTTTTTATAATAAAGACTAGAATCAAAATTATTTTATAGATTGCATTAATATTGATCAAAACAATATTGTCCACACTGTAGTAAAAAGGTCATACAGTAGTCATAACTATAGATCAAAAAAATGTGTTAAATAAAACATTACTATAAAGACTATAATTTATATTTAAGCAAGTCAAAATAGTAGAGACCACACAATAGTGAAAACTATAGATTACTTTATAATCAAGACTATAGTCTAAAATTTCTTAAAGACTACATTATTATCTAGACAATCGTCTGCATTATATAGTCTATATAATATACATTACAGTTCGAACTATGGTCAATAATAGTCACTGTATAATCAAGATATTAGTCAAAACTTTCTTAAAAAATACATCATTATAAAGATTCTAATAAAATCAATATAATTAAGAATATAGTCAACTCTACTCTCATGTCTATAGCGCACACTAAAGTCACGACTATAGACTACAAAATAGTCCAAGCAAGAGCTTACTTTATAGTCAAGACTATAGTCTAATCTTTCTCTAAGATTAATTTATTAAGATTATAGCAGTCCTTAGTTCTCAGTCAAATCCATATTCAAAGTCTAAACTTTCGTAAAGGCTACACTTTTATTAAAACTGTAGTCCACATTACATATTCAATCTATGTGCATTTGTTTTTTACTATAGTCAAGTCTGTAGTTCACATCTATCTAGAATGTAGTCCACATTATAGCCAAGAGTCTAGCCCACACTATAAGTAGTTATGATTTTATTCAAGACTATAAACCCCACTATAGAAAAGAGAACTTGAACTTCTCATCGAAAATTTCTTTCTTTCGAATAGAAAATTATACTATTCGATCAACAATCAATCCCACTGTCTGGCAGTAGGACAAAAATCACAGTTAGCAACAAGTATTTTTTATAGGTGCTCTGTTAATAAAAAGTCAGCAGGAATATAAAATTACCAAACAAGTACTACAATTTAAATTACATATTTTAGTTCCTACATTTATTTATGCACAATTATTTTGTAACCTTGAAACAAGTGGTTAGTTCATCGATGTAAACCAATGTTGATGCTGATCATGATGATGTTCAGTGTGGGCAACTTAAGTACTACAGTTGTAAGATTAAACATACGTTAAACAACATGTGTTAACATTATAACCAACAAAATAATTAGATAATTTTGTAATAAAATATTACAACTACTGTATGCAAAAGCAGATGCTTTTTAAACATTTAAAATAATTTATTATATTTTTTGCATAAAACTGTTATTATTAAATTATGAACATTTAAAAATGTACTTCATATGAGTATGTACTTAAACACAAATTTGTTAATAACACTATCTCTTCCCCTGCAGTTTTAAAAAAAATTTATGGAAATTTTGTTTTATAAACCTTTTATAAAATAAAAATTTGATTATGAATATAAAATAAATAAGTAAGAATTTATAGTCGGGTATGGCCGCCCATATGATACTCTACACCAGTGCTTATGTTACAAATTTTGATTATTTTTTTTAAATAATAAAGTATTTAATTTCATTTGTACCTTAATTCATAAATATTTATTTACAATACAATTTGTTGACAAAAAAGGGATTTTCTAAAAGAGTGGTTATATGGCGGCAGGGGGTTAATATGGTCCTATTCTTATAAATTTTGGTAGAGGGATTTACGACTACATCAGTTATGTATGCACAATATCATCGTGATATTAGTGTTTATAAGTGAATTTTGAACATCAAGTTATTTTCCGAAGTGGACTTAGTATGGGGGATATGGGGTCAACTGAGGCCTGATCAATACGAAAATCAGCAGTATTATTAAGACTTATACAAAACTTAGTCGATTCTTGGAGTGATACAAGAACATTTAACAAAAGTCTTCGTCATTGGGTCAAAAAGAGAGTATGTGCCTAATTTGATCTGATTATCTTGAAAATTGCGACCTGTAGAGTGCGCACAAGGTTTACATGGACACAGACGGACAGACAGACAGACGGACGGACATAGCTAAATCGACTCAGAAAGTGATTCTGAGCCAATTGGCATACTTTAAGGTGTAGGACCAATATTTTTGGAAGTTACTATAGTGGTGTAGGGTATAAAAAGTATCATTTAAGAATACTGAGAAATGAAAAAAATATTTTCTTAATTTAAAACCTTTTTTATATCAAGTGTAAAACAAAAACTTGTAAAATTATTTCAAATAATTATAAATCGATTTTAAAACTTTTCTTACATATATAAGAATCATCTAAACCATGAAACCACTTCCTAATGCAGTTGATTCATTGCCATATACATACTTATGTATGTTTAATGACACTTGTTAATTACTACTTTAACAAAACTACAATTAATTTTTAAATTTTATAGAATTCATAAATTTTATTTTACTTTCACACATGCATGAAAAACATTTATGTACATTTTACATTGATTAAAAAAAATAGTAATTAATTATAAATCCATATAAACAGATCATAAAATATTATAATTGTTAAATCATGATTTAGCCATCATCAAATTTATATGAAAATCATGTATTGTTTTAAAGTATTATTTAAGTAAAGTAGGGTTGAAATAAAATATTAGGGTATAACATAGATTGTCCGATAAATTATATGATATCGAGACTATAGTCAATCTTAAAGTAGGTTCACTAGAGTTGGGAGTACAGTCTATAGTACACAATTTAGTAGCGTCTAAAATCCGCAATATTGTATATAATCGAAACTGTTTATATTCGAGGCTTTAGTCGAATCTATAATCGAGACTATAGTCGAGTCTATAGTTGAGTCTATATATATAATAAGGCTATAGTCCATTCTATAATCAAGTTTATAATCTACTTTATAGTCGAGTCTATAGTTGAGACTATGGTTGAATCTATAGAATATACTATATTCGAGACTATAGTCAAGTCTACATTCGAGTCTATAGTCGAGTCGATACTCAAGGCTCAAGTCTATAATCAAGTTTATAATCTACTTTCTAGTCGAGTCTATAGTTGAGACTATGTTTGAATCTATAGAATATAATATATTCGAGTCTATAGTCTATACTCAAGTCTATATTCCAGTCAAGTCTCGACTATATAGTCGATTTTCTGGTCGAGTCGAGTTTATATTCTAGACTATACTATATTCGAGCCTATAGTCGAGTCTGAACTATAGTCTAGGCTATAGTCGAGATTATAGACTATATACAAGCCTATAGTCGAGCTTATAGTCGAATATAGTATATATATACATATATACTATATTCGAGTCTATACTTAAGGCGATAGTACAGTCAAGTCTCGACTATATAGTCGTTTTTCTGGTCGAGTCGAGTTTATAGTCTAGACTATACTATATTCGAGGCTATAGTCGAGTCTGAACTCGAGCCTATAGTCTATAGTCAATATTGTAGTCTAGTATATTTGCCAAGTTTATAGTCGACTATAGACTAGACTATAGTCGAAATTATAGACTAAACTATACTCAAGACTATAGTCGAGTCTATAGACTTGTCTATTCTATAGTCTATTCTATAGTTCAGTCTATAGAATAGACTATAGTCGATACTATAGTCTAATCTATAGTTCAGTTTATAGAATCGACTACAGTCGAAACTAGAGTCTAGACTATGGGCGACACTATAATTAAGTCTATAGACTAGACTATATTCGAAACCATAATTGTGCCTATAGACTAGACTATATTCGTAATTATAATCGAGTCTATAGTCCAGTATATTGTGATGTCTATAAAGAAGTCAATATTCGAGGTCTAGTCTAGTCCATAGTGTAGACTGTAGTTGAGTCTATAGACTAGAATGTAGTTGAGGTTATAGACTAGAGTATATTCGAGACTATAATTGACTCTATACTCGAAACTATAGTCTAGGCTATAGTCGAGATTATAGTAGAATTTATAGACTATATTCGAGCCTATAGTCGAGCTTATAGTCGAGCTTATAGTCGAGCCTATAGTCGTGACTATATTCGTGGCTTTTGTCTGTGAAATTTCTCATGAGATCATAAAAGGGACAATGTGCGGACCATAGAGACTTAACACCAAAAGGTATCTGTTGCATTCTCCTCAGTGTAGAGTTAGTAATCCATATAACTCTTTTGGCCTCTTATAGTTATAATCACTAATTTTTTTTACAAAATACGTATGAACTTGCAACATTGTACGACTTCATTCTTCAGTAAATTTTATTCAATCAGTCGGTTTGTTTTCAAGTGAATGTGAAATCGTTTTGTAATCTATTACAACAATGAAGATTAAGTGTCTATATAGTGAAGTGCAGTAATGGTAGCTTTAAAATTGTAATTAAAAAAAACAAACAAATTAAATGATGTTCATGGTTTAATTCTATTAAACAAAAGGAAAAAAATTAAAAAAAATAAAAATTAATAATAAATTTTATTAAATATACTTCAAATACACTTGACTAATTGCTGTAAAAGGGAAAAGTTAGAGAACACCAACATGCATACTAACATTCAGAATTCTAAATTGCGACACATCACAGAAGAACACTTTGAAAATGTATATAAAGCCTGCATGGATTATGATTTTCATAGTCAGTCGGATTTGAAAATTTGTAGTGTTTGAGGCAAGAAATCAATTTAATTGTTATTGAAGTAAATTTAAATCCTAAGATTTAAATTTGTGAAAATGCGTGTATTTGTGGTGTTGTTTGTCATGTGTTTGACAGCGGTAGCTGTTTCTGGAGGATATCTAGGAGGAGGAGGAGGTGGCGGAGGTCATGGTGGTGGAGGTTATGGTGGTGGTGGTGGCCATGATGGTGGCGGTGGAGGTTATGGTGGCGGAAAAGGAGGTGGTGGTGGTGGTGGCAAGGGAGGTGGCGGTTACATTATCGTCTCTAGCGGTGGTTCTAAAGGGGGATATGGTGGTGGAGGTGGCGGTGGCAAGAAAGGAGGCGGTGGTGGTGGTTATAGCGGCGGTGGTGGTTATGGTGGAGGTCATGGCGGCGGTGGTGGTGGCTCCAAGGGAGGTTATGGAGGTGGTGGTGGCGGATCTAAGGGAGGCTATGGAGGTGGTGGCGGCGGTGGCTGGTCTAGTAAAGGAGGCGGTGGTGGCGGCGGCGGTTATGGTGGTAAACGCGGTGGAGGCGGCTGGTAACTTCCAATATCGGTATCAAAAAGAAATAACCTCAAATATTGATACTCTTGACAATGTTGATAAACAACTTTTATATAGTAGAACTTCTGTATTAATCCAATAAAATGTGTTCATTTTAAAACTTCTAATAAATAAATTTTTATAACATTTTTTTCGTAAAAAAGCATTGAATACTTTATTAATTAAAAAAATTTTTTTTGTGTCCAAATCTTACTTGGAAACCCTTGAATCTTTATACTTACTCTTATGAAAAAAATTAATTCTTTATTTCGTTTTCCCTGAGTCACCTTCAAAAGGTCTAAAAACTTGTTTAGCCGAAATTATTGCATTATTAACAAATAAAATCTTTTCACATGGTAGTTTTTTTCCGATACTTATTTAAATTATTATTCAATACAAATTACAAAAAACACAAATAAACAATTCTTATTCCCACATTCAACATTCAAACTTTATAAAAAAATAATAAATATTTTTTTTTTTATTTCTAAAACCATAAAAAATTGAAATCATTAATATTTGTATTGAATATAGTACAAGTGGTTTTGTTTTAACAAACTATTGCATCTGTTTTACTAATAATATTTTTTTTTTTTTAAATCATGTGTATTTTATGTAAAATTTATGTGCTTTGTTTTAGTTTTTAATAATTTTACAAATTTTTAATGGCAATTTGTAATTAAATTTGAATTATAATTTTTTTATAGTTCAACTTTATTAGAATAAATTAAAATGCAAACTCAATTAAATTGAAGATGTATGGATTTGTTTGTGGTTAAAACTCATAATTTTTTTTTAATTTATGTAAACCAGACGAAATGTTCGTTCTTAATATAGAAATTGAAGGTCATATGTTTGCAGCTTTGCTAATTGACAACTTTCTAATTAGATGTAATGTTGTCAGTTAGGTGGTTTCAAAATTTTGTTTATCTTAATCTAGAAATACAAGCCGGGAAAACCAGGACTATGATCGTGATAAACATACGGCGATTGGGGGCGCAAAAGGGAAGGTTAAGAATGTCACTTTTTACAGGAATATTCTAACCAAGATTGACTTATATTGGACTATCATGGTTTTGAATATTAAACGGACAAACAGACTAAAGTATAGGCTTGATATTACTTTCATAGAAAAAGTATCAAAATATCTTTGAAGTCAAGATCTTTCAGATATTATATCTCTTACATATACTGATTTGTAAATTTGCAATACGTCCAGAAAACTATGTTTATGAAAATTGTACGATATATTTTTTATAGATCACTACGTAAAACCATGTAAAGGGATGCAAAACCTAGACCGTTAGCGGTCTAGGTGTATTTTTTCGGATACTATGTATCCGAAAAAATACTTTCTCCTGCTCCTTTCAACCTCCCGAACTTAGTAAGTGGTCTATTCCATGGTTCATGGTCAATAATGGGAAACTGTTCATAGTTCAATTAATTGGCTCTGGTTTGCTGATTCCATTGAACAGAATCCTTTAAAAGCGAATAACTGTTATAATCACAGACACTCAGTCGGTACAGATCTTTTCGGTCGTACTGTTTTCATATGGGGAAAATAGAAAAATAGTACATATGGACTATAAGTTGGAAACTCTACCCAATTCTTCTGAATTGACTTATCGAAATCATTACAAGAGACAGAATAGTAGATTTTTTCGAATCTTATATTACACCCTGTAACAATTTTGAAAAAAATCGTTCACATATAGAAAAGTCGATATGCATACTAGAGTCCATTTAGAGCAATTCTTTTGAAATCGGATGACCTTTAAACATTAAGGTCCTTTTACAGGGGCATAAGAGTTGATCATGTTTGTTATATACGACCACCTTCATTCAACCTGACCTAAACTTCTCCAATTGAGACATAAATTGTCTATTGTTCTCTAATTGGAAACTGTCGCTTGTTCAAAGAGTTGTCTCTGGTCAGAATTCTCTAAAAGATGTTACCGATCCCTTAGATCATACAAGTTTTCAATATTTATCTTCAGGGAAGTACTATGATTTAAGACAAATTGAAAGCTATGACCAGTTGTATATATTGTTTCAGATCCCTTGAACCTATTGATATAAATCACTTCGAAAAAAATAGAGAATAGTATATTTACAGAGAAATATCACTCTATAACGATCGTTTGTAGATCTATATTCTGATATTCATAATAAATTTCAGCTACCAAACTATATTGTTTAAGCTCTATTACAATATACTTGATTTTTGACAGAGAGGGAGAATAATATAATTTTGGAAAAGATTTCTTTCGACTTAACCGTTTATTCAGATACAATCGGCAGACCCGGATTTTAAAGGGATAAACATTATGGATTTAATGAAACCATAAAATATATTTAACGATACAGATGATCAGAGATTTAGGAATATGAAGATGAATCACATAATAATGTGATTCTACTGTTAATAGATTCCTCTAGGTTCTTAAAAGGATAAACTTAATGAGTGATCAATGAGAGATATTTCGAAGTGAATGAAAACATCAATTCGATAGAAAGATTTTTCAAATATAAAAAAATGTAGGGCCCTCGATCTATGAAGGTTAAAAAAGCAGATGAACTTCTTAATTAGGGACAGTCTATATAAACATAGTATGGACTTTTCAAATATTGATATTTTTCATTTTACAACTTACAATTTAGACTCAGAATATATTAATTTTTGGGTTGACAAAACATTATCACTTTAAATTCTTTTACGCGAACTCCATCTTTATCTGTATCTTCCCTTTAAAGAGGATACTCTAGGAAAGCAGAAAAAATCTTATTGAAAAGAAGAATTTTGTGTGAAATCATCACACTTAAGAATAAAACAAGATGGATTTATTTCATTGTTATTAGACAGCAGAAAACACTTCAAAATCAGATGAATCAAATATAAGGTTTTAATTGTAATAATCCTTTAAACAAAAAACTTTACAGGAACTTTATTTTTTCAGAAGAGATATACGATTCAATCGTTAGTTTGTAATTTTTAACAAAAAGTCCCTTTTTCTTTCTTTAATACATTAATACCACACAAAGTTAAATTTTAATTCAAAATTTATTTATTTTTTAAAAATTGCTTATCTCTATATATTTTGTCATTTGTTTATTTACACATACATACACATTAGATTTAGCACCATTTTAATTATTAACAAGATTTTTTTATAAAATATTTTTTTTTTCTGTTTGTCTGTTGTAAACACATAAGAACACAAATTATTTACATATTTATATTTTGTTATTTGAGATGATATCACTGCATGAAAGTTTGTATAGACGTACAAGTCTACCATTTCCAGCCGCCACCACTGCCACCTGAAGACCAACCACCACCGCCGCCGCCAGATTTCCAGCCACCACCACTGCCTCCAGAAGACCAGCCGCTATTGCCACCGGACCAGCCACCACCGCCGCCAGATTTCCAGCCACCACCGCTACCTCCAGAAGACCAGCCACTGCTGCCACCCGAAGGCCAACCACCACCGCCTCCACCTAGAGACCAGCCTCCACCACCTCCGCCTGATTTCCAGCCTCCACCTCCACCGCCTCCAGAAGACCAGCCACTGCTGCCACCAGAAGGCCAACCGCCACCACCTCCTCCACCGCCTAGACTTATGATTTTGATGATTTTGGTGCCGCCACCACTACTGCCACCACCGGACCAACCACCACCATGACCACCACTACCGCCACCAGACCAGCCACCACTGGATCCTGATCCCGACCAGCCTCCACCGCCTCCTGACTTAGACCAACCACTGGAACCGCCACCACCAGACCAGCCACCACCGCCGCCTCCCAAATAACCAGCAAAAGCTTGAGCGGTTAAACCCACCAAGAGAATAATAATAGAACGTTTCATTTTAAACCGTATCGCAAGGAGCACTTCCTATCAGTAAGATTGAAATGCCACAACTAATAACAGTTAGAGATTAACAACAAGTATTTATACCAACAACTACCCAACACTAGAAGACTTCAGTTAAATTAAATTTGACAATGTTATTTCTATTTTAATTTTCCCAACAAAAGCAAAATCGCCATCCAACACCGCAACCACCCAACAAACACAAAACATCACTAGCACCAACCTTAGTGTTGGTGCTATTTACCCCCTTTGGTCATAACCTCTTCCCCCACCCATTAATTGAAATCTGCTCACAGTTACAATTTACAAATTCTAACTATTCTTATGCTACGTTTGCAATAAAATACAAAACAATACAATAAACATCAGTTTACAAAGACTGCTAGCTAGCAAGTAGCAGACTTATGAACAAAACTTAATGTTGGCTTACAATCAAACAAAACTCCTCTCAGCTTGTGCCATATTTTCGTTTCTGTTCAGCAAAAAAACGTACTCGTCATCGTCGTCTTTAGTTGTGCGAATATCATGCTGCCTCATCGTCAGCGCAGCAAAATTTAAAGCCTCGTCCGTCTTCTTGTTAGCCATAGTTACAAAGTATTTAGTTAGTAGTTACATGTATTTGTGTAGTTTGTTGCCAATTTTATTGCTCGTCTCACTACTCACAAACACACAATTGTTACAACAGCTTTAGTAATAATAATAACAACAACTATCAACTACCAGTGTTTACAATCTCAGCTTAAAAATCTTTACAAAACAATGCCTTCGCATGACGTTTCTTTACTCTCAGTATGTTTCAATCCACTCGAGTTGTGTGTGAGTGTGTTTGAAAAATATTAAAAAATCGAAATGCGTTCACTATCATCTAGCCAAACAAATGATAATCGGGTATGTAAGCGGTTTGCACTGGCATTGTTCTACATTATATACTCAAATAGTACTGTAGGCTGAGATGTCCTCATCCAATATATTTGTTGTAAAATTGTCCAATTGGTCCTAAGACTGTTAATTTTCCATAAAGCCTGCACAGAAAAAATTACGTATAAAACGTCCTAGGAAATTCCAATACAAGATCGAGCATTGGACGAGTTGTTGATCCATCTTAATGCAGTATTAAGAGAAAAACACTGTAGGAGTTTCAAAGGTCTTGGTTTCAGTTGAAGTAGAACTTAAACTCCAGTTCAAATCAAATGTAGTTCAGTTCTAGATCAGTTCTAGTTCAGTTGTAGTTCAGTTCTAGTTCAGTTCTAGTTCAGTTCTAGTTTAGTTATAGTTCAGTTCTAGTTCAGTTCTAGTTCAGTTCTAGTTCAGTTCTAGTTCAGTTCTAGTTCAGTTCTAGTTCAGTTCTAGTTCAGTTCTAGTTTAGTTCTAGTTTAGTTCTAGTTCAGTTCTAGTTCAGTTCTAGTTCAGTTCTGGTTCAGTTCTAGTTCAGTTCTAGTTCAGTTCTAGTTCAGTTCTAGTTCAGTTCTAGTTCAGTTCTAGTTCAGTTCTAGTTCAGTTCTAGTTCAGTTCTAGTTCAGTTCTAGTTCAGTTCTAGTTCAGTTCTAGTTCAGTTCTAGTTCAGTTCTAGTTCAGTTCTAGTTCAGTTCTAGTTCAGTTCTAGTTCAGTTCTAGTTCAGTTCTAGTTCAGTTCTAGTTCAGTTCTAGTTCAGTTCTAGTTCAGTTCTAGTTCAGTTCTAGTTCAGTTCTAGTTCAGTTCTAGTTCAGTTCTAGTTCAGTTCTAGTTCAGTTCTAGTTCAGTTCTAGTTCAGTTCTAGTTCAGTTCTAGTTCAGTTCTAGTTCAGTTCTAGTTCAGTTCTAGTTCAGTTCTAGTTCAGTTCTAGTTCAGTTCTAGTTCAGTTCTAGTTCAGTTCTAGTTCAGTTCTAGTTCAGTTCTAGTTCAGTTCTAGTTCAGTTCTAGTTCAGTTCTAGTTCAGTTCTAGTTCAGTTCTAGTTCAGTTCTAGTTCAGTTCTAGTTCAGTTCTAGTTCAGTTCTAGTTCAGTTCTAGTTCAGTTCTAGTTCAGTTCTAGTTCAGTTCTAGTTCAGTTCTAGTTCAGTTCTAGTTCAGTTCTAGTTCAGTTCTAGTTCAGTTCTAGTTCAGTTCTAGTTCAGTTCTAGTTCAGTTCTAGTTCAGTTCTAGTTCAGTTCAGTTCTAGTTCAGTTCTAGTTCAGTTCTAGTTCAGTTCTAGTTCAGTTCTAGTTCAGTTCTAGTTCAGTTCTAGTTCAGTTCTAGTTCAGTCTAGTCAGTTCTAGTTCAGTTCTAGTTCAGTTCTAGTTCAGTTCTAGTTCAGTTCTAGTTCAGTTCTAGTTCAGTTCTAGTTCAGTTCTAGTTCAGTTCTAGTTCAGTTCTAGTTCAGTTCTAGTTCAGTTCTAGTTCAGTTCTAGTTCAGTTTTTGTGCTGATCTCTTTCAGTTGTAATTCAATGGTCTAACAACTAAAATTTCAAGTTAACATGATACCTAACCTACTACCGTAGGTTAAGTTGCAACATTTAAACAAAACCACTGTGCAGTGTGAGCGCTTTCCACTAAGACTCATTTAATTAAATTTATTATTGCACCTCTGCTTTTGGAAGATACAACCAACTAACTATAACTACTAATACAACAAACGAAAAACTACTAAATACAATATAATATACAAGTTAGTACAAGTACAATTGACCATCAACTATGCCATAGAACTTGTACGACTATTCATTATACGAACATTGATAAAAAAACAATTCAAAATTTACAATTCGTAACTTGCAGTTTTGAATTTTAAGCCCATCATGATTGCCAGCAACGATGATCATCATCATTATCATGATACGAGTACGAGTGAAGACAAGTTATTTGCGAGGTCTCGTCTTCAGTTTGAATTATAGCGCCACTTATTTCTATTATTTGTGAGTAGTTAGTTGGATGGTCTTTCGTAAAAGCCTGCCTAGGTCTAACAGTGCTACAATAATCCAACTAGTCAAAGTGTTTTGTTTTAGACCATGATTATGTCAGACTTTATGTTTGCTAGTATATGTGAGTGTGTGTGTGTGTATGTTTGTTAAACTAAGTGTCGGTGTTTAAATCGCAATTTATGGTTAAATTATTCTTAAGAGCTTTTAATGTCTGTGTAAATGTGTTTATGAAATGTCTTGGCATAGTATGGCAATGTATTCCATTGTAATGACAGGGGATGTGTAGACATGAATCTAAGTATAAGTACTTGTACTCGTATGTATGTTTGTAAGTTTTGCCTAATTATTAATTTTAATTTTTTGTTTCATTTATCGTTTGTATATGTGAGAAAATTATAGTTTAAAAACATTTTTGTTTATATTAACATTCATATATGTATTTTATTCATAATCATGATGCAGAAATTTGCTTTTGTTTCTTTAATATTGCAAACTAAACAATAATGAGTTTTGTTTAAAATCAGTAATTAGTTGGAGGTGTATGATTAAATATATGTTTTTATTTATTTTTTTTTTGTTGAACACAAAATATAGTCTGTACAATTTTGTCTTCATTTTGTTTTTCATGTGTTGTTCTTCATATCAAAGTTCCGGTTGTAATTTACGAAAATGTCTAGTTATCATGACATGTTGTGGTATTTGTTTAAAATTGCAATTATTTGTCAGGGACTCGTAAAAGACTTTTTTTATCTCTTTGACGCATATGAAACACCAAGTTTGAGTTCAAAGACACAGTAATTTGTTATTTGCCGTCTTAATTGAAGCGATTTTTAAAGATCTAATAATGTACCCGACTACTATTTATCTTATGTTTAGAATTAGAATACCTTCCAGAAGCAAATGGCTCAGAGTTTACTTTTAATACCAGAAGTTTAAATAAATAGTTCAAAAATGAACTTCGGTTCTGGTGTTTTTTTGCATAAATTTGGAATAAGAATGTCTTATTATGTAACAAATGACTAGGGTTTTTAGGTTGAAATAATGGCAATAATGACAGCCTGTTGAGCAAATACATGACCTCAATGTCAGTGGAAATATTGGAATTTTTGTCGAAAGCTAGGCTGTATTTTAATACCCTACACTACTATAGTGGGGAGGGTATTATTCGTTTGTGCTGATGTTTATAACATCCAAAAATATTGATCATACACCCAACTTAAATCGGCTCAGGATCACATTCTGAGTCGATTTAGCTATGTCCGTCCGTCCATCCATCTGTCCGTCTGTGTGTCAATGAAAAGCTTGTGCGCACGCTACAGGTCGCAATTTTCAAGATAATTTGATGAAATTTGGCACATACTCTTCGACCCAAGGATAAACGCTATTGAAAATGGTTGAAATCCGTTCATTATTTCGCCTAGCCCTCATACAACCGTACCCTCTGAATAGGGCTTTTGAGCTCATAATTATGTTAAATGATCCAACAACAAATAGGGTATCATATGTTCGACCATGCCCTACTATACATTCATACTTGTTCTCATTAAATTCATATAGAATGATATAATAAGACTGGATTGTCTGCCTAGTTTAGGTCCCTGAACAATGAGAATCAGAGGGCAATATGCAGGCATTTTGCCAGAAGATGATCTGCTTCGATTATTTCCGGTGCGACTTCAGTTGCAATTCTGCTTGTTTCTATTAAAAATTAATCCTTCAAAATTTATTCTTCTAGAGGCTGAAAAATAGGAGGATTAATTTGACAAAAAAAAAAAAAACGTATATCTTGTAAAAACGGAAAATTAGGAGGTTTTTTTGAAGTAATAACTGGACTAGGTAGACAAACTATTCGACTTTGGCTCTTTTTAAGCGAATACAGTCACAGGACAAAGGCAAATTTTAAAATGCCTATATAAATAGATTTCTTTGGCAACCTACGGGTACATGTTAGATCTAATACGACATATTGGATCATATTTAAAGAAAAGCTGTCTTTAGAGTTTTAAAACTTAATATTGATCATTAGCTAATAAGATCGGAGAAAATATAGTTTTGGTTTAAAAATGACAGTTCTGAAGGCTCTCTTGTTCCTGTTCTATGATAAGTAGGAGTTTAGTAGGCGTGGCATCCAATCAAGATTGGTTGGTTGGATGGTTAACGTGGTAGTTCA